TTAATAATCTAAAGTTAATCATCACCCGCAAGGGGCGGAAGGTCTCAATTGTCCAGCCCGCTGAAGCTGGCTCGAAGGAAGCAGCGTTATCATCTCAAAGAGACGAAGTGACAAGGAGGGACAGGTGAAAAGCAACAGAAACGAAGACACTCGAACAAGATGTCGCTTACACGGGACGTCGGCCGCCCGCACGAGAGAGACAGAGAAAGGAAATGTAAGGAATCCAACCTACATAATAATTTAACCCCACAACTGAGACCTGCAGACAGACACCGCGAGCTCAGCGGTGGGGCGCTCAGACAAGAAATGAAAAGACACGAGGAAGTAGGAGAACGGATAATAATAACTAAGCACAAGATTTAAAGGCTCTATGAAATAGTTCCGTCTATGCGTCGACGAAACACCGGCAACGAAGGAGCCGGTTATGCAGAAGCCGGCAGACTGTTCCATGTTCTGGCGGCGGCGACCGGGAACGCTCTGTCGCCGATGTAAAATAAACGTGTAGAGGGGACGCACAACCGCTGCTACATTTCGTTCGCCCTCTTCAGCGGATATATAAACCGTCGTCGATGCTAATGTAACCTCATGGTCTGAGAACTTTATTTACCCTCAGTGGGCCATAAATTTACTCTATAATCAGTGTAGGTGCGCGTGATAACAACCTCGATTTCATGCCTAAACTTAAATTAAAGAAAATTCGCAAGTGCTTGTGTGTCGAGATGCCTAAACATAATACTTTTTTGCTCTACGATCAATGAAATTTCAGCTAGGCCGTGTTTTTTATAGTTTTCTTAGTATAATTTTACTCAACTGGTCGGTCGAGAGAAGAAAGCTATGTAGTTTTGCGCTACCATTCATCAGTCCTGTGGTTGCAGGCAGATTTTGAAGGAAAGAGAATATATTTCGCAAATCATTTCAAAGGATATTAGCACCGGAAGGATTTAAGACACAAAAAATTCTTCAGACTGGGGAACTCATTGGAGCATACAAGTATACTCATGGCTTATACAAGGTGTCAGAAGGATTGCTAGAATTTGAAACAAGAACCAACACCAGGGGCCATAGCTATAAACTAAAAAAACTGCGTTGTAACACATCCATGCGACAACATTTCTTCTCGCTTCGAGTCACCGACATGTGGAACAGCCTCCCTGATAGCATCGTTGACGCTCCGAGCATGAACGCCTTCAAGAACAGACTGGACGAAGCTATGCAGGAGCATATGTTCAGTCTTAAATGCCCAGCAAATTACGCACCAGGCAATAAGTCAAGCAGCTATCTCTTTTCTTTATTTAATTGGAATTTATGGGAGCCTCTGAAGACTGGTTCAATGCGGTCCCATGTCAGAACAGTTCAAGGAATTTTACTGAATTTTGTTTTCAGGCATAAAAAGGATGTCTCGGAAAAAATCAAGATTTTTCAATGGCTGAAGGGCTACAGAATGGGGCCACTAAAGTGGAGACCACACCGGGGCGGAGAGCACCACTCCAGGGCAGAAAGCCCCACTCCAGGGCAGATGGGGGCACTAACCACTACCTGGGGACACTAACCACTACCTGGGGACACTAACCACTTACCTGGGGACACTAACCACTCACCAGGGGACACTAACCACTACCTGGGGACACTAACCACTACCTGGGGACACTAACCACAAACCCGGGGGCACTAACCACTACCTGGGGACACTAACCACAAACCCGGGGGCACTAACCACACATGGAGGCATCTTAAAATCTTTGTAACGAAATTTGGCAGTTAGACGCCGGGAGCATTTATAGGTGTTCAGGAGTTAAACTTCACTTTAGCTGGTCGTAACTTCCGCCGGCTCAACGCCTCGGAGCGGGACAGCACGGCATTTTCAAAGTTCGAGAAAGATAGTTCCAGAACAATGACGTAGCAGCCGGCCGAAGCCGGCTACTGTCACGGGAGCTCAGCACAAATAACCTCTTGTCTCAACGGTTAGAACAGAACTCATCAGCTATCTCAATCAATCGTCAGTTATGGAAAGATCAGGTTACAAAGGCCCGATCCCTTGTGAAGCAAGCCACGAAAAATTCAAGAATCGGCAACAGGCCATGGGCCTATTTCTTCAGTGCCTACATTTCTATTCAATGAAGGAAAACCTGAAACCATTGCACTCAATGTTGCAGCCTCCTGCCTGCACCCGAGGCGATTAGAGTTGGTATAAAATAATATTATAAAGTAAAGTTTAACAGTGTAGTTCAGTAATAAAAGCGATGACGGCCAAATTTGGCCTGTCACCGAATATAGACATAGCACAATTTTTTCACAGCTCGCTTGGGGATGAACCCGAACTCACTGCTCCATTCATGTTGTTTTTCAGTAACTCGACTTTCGCTACAAAGTCTTCGGATGCATTAATGTTGTCAATACCATTTCTTCTGTTACACGAGTAACATCAGCAGATATGAGTTCTAAAAATTGTCAAGCTTTGCCCAATTACAGACGCCAGGGTTCACGAACGAGGCCAATTTTGCCCATGGTTGAATTAATACAAACATGAATTTTGCCAGTCCGCCACGGAGCAAGCATACGAGAATATAGAAAGCATAAAAATCCCCATCCTCTGCCATTTCGCTGATCAAAACTTTCATTTGACATCCTAGTCTTGGAATTGTGATCTACTAATGAGCTGAAAATAAAATAAAAAAATAAATAATAATAAAAAATAAAAAAAGCTCATGCGTACATTTGCACATAAATGAACCACGTAATTAGTATAGGTAGATGAAACTACCAATGAGCGAGCAATGCGTTAACTACGTAATATTTTCAATACATATTTTTAAAAGAATTTTAGCTACACGGTACATTTATTTTCTGGGTATATACGAGGCGAGCGGGAGCAGCTGGAGGAAAAACTTTCCAGGAAGGAAAACAAAGACTACATTTCAGTAAAAAATGTACTGATGAAAAATATCTGAGTTTAGGTATTACAATGGCCACGTGTAACGAGAGCTCAGATGACATGCACGTCGTGTAAATTACATGGAGTTTTTATAGAGTAGTTGGTTACTTACGAAATTAAGAGCCTTTATTTGCATTATCGGATGTAAAAATACAAGAATAGATGGGTAATGTTGAGGAAAGCAGACGAAAAATTTACTAGAATTGTATGAAATTAAAAAGAAAAGTTAATGGTAGAATCTACAATAAACATGATTACATACCATAAGTCCATAAGTTCCATATATTCAGCGTGCATACCTCCACCTTTCAACCATATACTAACCCAACAATGTTCTATTCGAATAAGTGCTCTATTTTATATAAATCCCAAATTAGTACAACATAATATTAAAATAATATGCATTCAATCAAGAAACAAATACTAAATAAAATTTGCGGGGTTCCTGACTCGTACTGTAATCGATCAAGAGGGAAAAGTCTGGAAAATATAACCTGTCGTCCTAAACTCCATGACCAACAAGACCGCAATGAAGTGGCGTGGTCACGATACAGTCGTGACGTCATCACTCGTCGTGACGTCATCGTCACTCGTCGTGACGTCGTCACTCGTCGTGACGTCATCGTCACTCGTCGTGACGTCATCGTCACTCGTCGTGACGTCATCATCACTCGTCGTGACGTCATCATTGAAGAATGGCGCACAATTGGAACACAAGAATAATGAGCACGCACAGCATAAAAAGTTAATACAACTCAAAACGTACAAGTCCTTCCAAAAAAATTTGACAGGATCACATAAGAAATTGTAAAACAGGAATAAATACATGGAACAATACAAATCTGCGCTCGGGATTACCCAAGATAACAAGTTCAAAACAAAATAAAAGTACGAAGTGTCAAACATTTGACGGATACAAACAGAAATTAAAACCCGTTATAAATTAATTCCAGTATCACACTGAATCAACATTAAATACCCTCTAACAAAAAATTATTCCAGTTTAATCCTGAATAAATAAATTTGCAACGCATGTACCTCTGGGGGGTCGTTGAAAAACATACAACAGAGAACAACAGCAGTTCATGAGCAGTAGTTCAGTTTGGAAACTTACCCTATATTGCACTGGGGATCCAACACATCATCAGTTTCACAACAACGTGACGGCAAGTTACGGTACAAATTTTTAGGAATGGGTTAAGGATTCATCAGATGCTGATTTTAAATCGCCATCGCTGGATTAAAAGCAGAGTTGGCATCTCAGAGAAAAGATAGGGGCCCGTGAGCAGCAATAGAAACGAGGGGACACATGAGCAGCAATAGAAACGAGGGGACACGTGAGCAGCAATAGAAACGAGGGGACACATGAGCAGCAATAGAAACGATGAGACATGAACCAGAGGATACCTACCCGAGCCACAAAATGCAAGTGTAAGATATCTTTGTCTACACGCAAATAACATTGAAATAACGTTGACTACAAGTTGGTTTCGTTGAAACGAAGAATCAACGACATTGAAACATTAGAAGTCACACGTGCTGTGTTTTGAAATTTCCCCAACTTACTTAGCTTTCTGTATACTTAAGCTAACACCTGAGGTCTCGCACAGGAAAAATGCTTATTATGCAGTGGATCATTCAGTAATAATGCCCCTGAAATGCACACTGATCAGGTCTTATGATGATTAAAGTGTGGGATTCTTTTAGGTAAAAATCACGTATTTCAACAGTAACTTTCACTGATAATATCTTAGCATATCGCGCATTTATGTCCAAATAAATGTTGATGTATAAATGACAACACAGATCCATGTTTCCTCATATGAGGTAAGCATAAACATTCAGAAACAAAAACCATTCGAGTGAAATTCTCACTCAAAAATAATACCACCTTATTCATACAAGGACACCATGCAAGGAAGACGTGGTAGATCCTACGCATAACAACCGCCCATAGTGCAGGGCCATACTTTAAAAAAATTAAGATATCGTAAGTTCATCAGCCAATCATTGACGGCCTTTCGATCAAAATCCACCAATCATAGACAAGAAAATAGAGCGTAAGTACTTACGTTCACTAAGGGAATTTTGAAAGTATGGCCCCAGTAAGAGGACGCGCAACTTTCATCTGGTTTCGGGATGGAGAATATGTAATGTCATCTAGATGTTGAAAGATAGACAGTTTTCAAATTACTGTTAGATAAGGTAATGGTGAGGCACCATTATTTCATCATTTGCGGGTCAACAAATGATGGAATGCTGTTAAGAATGTCGAAGAAGAAACGGAGTGTAAAAAGTCCTGAGCAGAAAACATTTTTCAATGAGAGTTTTTCAATAAATATTAAGTAAATGACGGTAAATTGTTATTGGTGAATGTTTAGAGTCTATAGAAATGGCGAATGTTTAGAGCCTATAGAATGAATATCTTGGGCAACTTGCGAGACTTGATTTCAAGTTGCACGCTATTTCATACCAACAATAGAAGAAATTTAGACAAAAAATTTGTCAACTTTTAGCATGCACTTCCTTATATAGTATAAATGATAATTATTTCTCAACAAGTTAGAAAAAAATTGCGTGTATTTAACAAACGGCAAGTTCTTTTATCCAACAAAATATCGCAGTGTCCAAGAAAAAACTTATCCATCAAAGAAAACCGGATAGTCAATAAAAATTCCAATAATAAAGTCTAAGAGTGTGAATTTATACGTGATTCCCCCCACCCAAACTACATAACCAAATGGCCAAAAATTTACTAGCGGCGAAATGGTAAAGTAATTTTTGTGCAGGTTGATGTATGTCCAGTCCCTTACGCCAAATATCATAATTTGAATATTTGGCTGATTTCATGCGTAATATTCCCGCTAAAATCATCTTAACTCTGAATATCACAGAATTCATGCCAAGTCAATTCTTAACTGACCATATATTTCTTAGGCACAGTATTTTCCGTCGCTAACTGTAAAACAATACAGGAAGGCAATCCCTAACCTCCCTTTCAATACTTGGAAACATTACTCACAACTTTTCCATAACTTGTACCAAATGAGGCACTCAAAGGAATAGGACACCCTTTTATATTAACATCAAATCACCTCATACCCTAGTCAGTCGCTTCTTTTTACCCTAGAATCTTTTTTGCCTCGACTGGAGACGAGCCAGGAGCTGGTTGGTAATCTCTGTAGACGGTTTACTTCCTTGGCGCCCCATAAGACGAACCAGAGGAGGCCAACAAAAAAGCCTATGAAGCTCTCGACGTAATAGCCGTCGATCGTGGTCGCGCATTTTCCTCCAGCTGCCAGGCATGCCTGTAAAGAAGTAGGTATTTATAGTCCTTGGCAAGGAGAAACCCTTATAGTGATTAATAATCGCTCAAAACTACAAATTACAACCAAAGTAAAATTAAAGAACCGAACATATTCTAAAATACCCGCATGTGATTGGGCATCAAAGCAAGTTGACGCTTATTGCAGTTAACAATGGCGTTCTGCTAGGATACACAGGAGTCAGCGACAGAATATTGACATTTGCAAATGACCCTGGAATATAACTGTACCAACTGGACAGAATATAATTAAAATAAATGGTCCATGAACTCAACACGAGGATTCAGTGGGCTTCATAATTTTTCAATATGCCTGAGAGACGCGGTAACACAGGCATTGATAGCAACAACAGGTCATTGTGCAAATTCATTCAATTTTTACTAATCACATCCCTTTCGTAGGCAAAATACCAAATTAGAAATGGTCCAACATCATCACTTAATGTTGGGGGGTCAGCTCAACAAGTGATCAGTAGTAACAACAAGGACCAAGTGCTTCATACTGCAACCTTATCGAGTATCTTGACGTCAAAGCTACTGCTATCACCAACCGATTATAAAGCAAACGAAAAAAAGGAAAAAAATTCATAATCCAACAGCGCGTACGGTATATACTTAGGCTAAAATATTCCAACATTGGCACCCCAATATCAAGTGCTGCCGACGCCATGACTGCGATATATCTAAGAGTGTGGTGACGAAATAAATATGGTTCTAGATCATTTTCCAGATCAAGTACTGTAAGGTAAGAACCTCCTTAAGTGTTGTAGAGTCACAAGTGCTGCCGGCGGCAACGGTGGCGTTGAGGGCGTCAGGAAGACAGCTGCTCCAGGTGAGGTCCGAGACGTAGCGTAGGGCGACCCACGTGGGCCAGTTGCCGCCCAGGTTGGTGAAGGTGTTCAGGAGTGTCATGTAGGTGCCGCCCACACTCGGGTCGCTGATCACTGCGAAGAATGCCATCACCGCCACGAACATGCAGTTCTGAGCTACCTGAAATAAATCATTGTCAGTAATTACAAATATTTAAATAATATTCAAAACCATACTTTCGAATGAATAAAAAATGTAGTGAAAGTCTTGTCAACGTCAAGGATCGATGAAGAAGGAGCAATCAAATATCTAACAGACTTGAAAGGTTTAATAGCAGAAAATCAACAATTGAATAATCAAGCAGTATGATTTATTATTCTTGTACATTAAAATTCCTTTCCAAGAATGTGTTTTTTTTGCGTTTAGCTTTTAGATTGACAATAGACCATAAGAAGAGATGAGCTTTAGTTAGATTATTTCCAGTTATTTTATTTTTCTCGATTAATTGGATAATTTTTCCTCCTGATGTATTTGGATGGAGCTAAGTGTAAGCCAGACTGTGGTCACTCCGTCCTGACAGCTTGCTTGGATCATTACCTTGATACCAACTATAATGGATGGCATTTTCAACAGAGCGCTACCAACACACCAAATAATTTAGTTTAGGATTGCGTTCAATTCTTTTTGAGATGTAAATTAGTGTGCAACAAAACTTTACTGATGACATTGTTATGGCAACATATCAGTTTTGCTACGATCAACTTCTTGTTTAAATCAAGAGTCAATCATACTTGTCAAAACTATTAAAATAATTATAAGATTAGTAAATTTTAAAAGAATCTGTTGTAAGTAAAGTTGATAATGATGTAATTTGATGCAATGGAAGGCAGGAAACCATCACTAAGCAGTTTTAATGACACACCGAGTTGAGCATATACACGAAGACAATGAGGGCGTAGTACGGCGCGTGGTAGACCCCATCAGCGTCTGCGAACTGCGGTGTTACGTAGATCACGGCAGCAAATACGAGGCCCATCACAACTCTGCGCGCAAGGGACATGTTCTTCAATTGATGAATACCGTATATCAACATTGCCAAGTAATATTACAGCACAATCCAAAAACATTACTAAGTAATATTACAGCACACTTCAAATACATTACTAAGAAATATTACAGCACACTTCAAAGAAATGTGATAAAAACATCAGCACAAAATAGTATCAGAAGGTAACCGCATTGCCACAGATTACAAGACAGACACAACAACGTATGCTGTAGCATCTTGCATTGACTAACCTGAATGGATAAGCACGGTTGAATACATTCATAGGGTAGCGGCCAGCAGTGTACCGAGAAATGATGAACGGTAGGAGGAGCTGGAACCATGCAAAGGTAAGAATAATTAAAGTCTTTTATCTACTAGTAAGTATTAGTTTAAAGAGTTCGTCATAAAATAAATTATACCAACGCACAAATTTATCTAAGTACCCATATTATCATTCTGCTTATATCGCAAGTTCACAAGGAATTTAAAAGCAAAGAAAACCCCAAGCAAATTCACCATATCGATATTGAATTCAATATCGATATGGTGAATTTGCTTGGTGTTTTCTTTGCTTTTAAATTCCTTAAAAATTTATCTTAACAACGCAAAAGAAGCTAGAGCAACACAAGAGACGAACAGCAGTACCTGCACTGGCGTGAGAGGCACGGAGAGCAGCGCGAGTTTGTCTTTAGGAACACCGGCCTCAGTGAGCTTCAAGGCTGTCAGAGCGTCAGTAGCTGCAAACCCAATCTGTAAAATAAAGATAAGAGTTGAAACTGTTTACACAAATGAGGGCGCTGTGTTATTGGGATTCTTGATATTTTTATGCATTATATAATTGTCAGAGATAATTGAGAACAAGTAAAATAAGTAATAAAAATGAGTTATTTAGAAAAAAATGATCATCTCTGAGGTAAACACTAGGCAGCATTGATTCGATTGTTCTTTCCCGCGAAGATGTAGCTTCACTAACCAAGATACAAGTCACTACCGGAGTGTCGTTAGTTTGAAGAAATCATTTGAAGCAAATTCCCCGTTTTAAATAAATGGAAAGCTATGAGTGTTTTTATTCCCCTATTATACATTTGTTTTTTCAAATTTTGCAATGAAATTAGGCCTGAACTTGTTGTAATAGTGCTTAATATTAGAATTAGGAGAAAAATTAATCAAAAGGACACCACAAACAACCTTGCATGTGAGCAGCACCAGCACGCAGCGCTGTATGTCATGCTTCTTAAGGATGGTGAGAAGCATCTTGTATGTATCCTGGAAGCCCAATTGGTTGTCAGAATCCTTGGAGTCATCCTGGGGTGAAGGTATAACGTTACAAAGCGCCTGAGTCATATATTTTGTAAATAAAAATAAATAACAGGATATTGGAAATTTACGTCTGAGAATTAAAGGCTGAAAACTACATCAACTCTACCGGAACAATTGATAGTCAGATAGGTGGCTTACATGCTTGTAACTTCTAACACAGAGAGTTCTGATTGAGTAATATCTGACTTAAATTAACAGCTTAACTCACCTCAGTCTTGCAGGCCCAAACAAAAGAAGTTGTCACCAAAAATACGAGGCCCCAAAAGAAGAAATAACCTGTAACATTTGAGGAGGTAAAACGTTATCATATCCCTGCTCAATTTATTAAACAACTTTTAGAGGTTATCTAAAGATAGTTGATATACAGAATTAATGTTAATTTAATATTGCAACTAGAGCATCATGATGAAATATTTCGAGACGAATATTGTACAAATGCACATTATAGAATGGTTATCATGTGGCATACAAAAATATGTTGAGGATGTAGCAAAATATAAGCAGCTGCAAGAAACTCAATTTCATTTAAAATATATTGAGAATTTAGCTAGATATAGGAAGTTACAAGAAGCTCATCATCATATAAAATATGTTGAGAATTTAGCCAAATATGAGCAGCTGCAAGTAGCTCATCATCACATAAAATATGTGGAAAATGCAGCCAAACGTAAGCAGTAGCTAGAAGCTCATTTTCATATAAAATATGTTGAGAGAATTTGCTGTTGCAGGTAGCTCATCATCATATAAAATATGTTGAGAATGCAGCCAAATATGAGCAGTTGCAAGAAGCACATTATGAAAAAAAAAAAATATGTTGAGAATGCAGCCAAATATAAGCAGTTGCAAGAAGCTCACCATCAAGAGTGACAAGGGAGCTCTGCAGCCCCAGGTAGTTGGTGCAGAAGTCTTTGCTCTCCAGCACCAGCAGCACAACAAACCCAATGCTGAAGCCTGCAGTCTGGCCAACCGAATTGCACGTTGAGGCATAGCCAACTTTTTCTCTGAAAATATTGTTCAATGTTATTCTCCAACTGATTAAATTTGTGGCTGAGAACGAAGGGTTTATTTTTATATTTTTTTGGCATCAATTGTAATATTACTAGCTCACAAAAACCTTATATTGGACGAATGCGTTCATTATATAGAAGTACCTACATAACCTCAATTATTTTCTTGGTAATTGATCAAAATTGGCTCTATTTCCCTGTTTTTGTTGTTAGTTACAATGGAAAAATTCCTATGAAATGGGGATCAGTCAAGTTGTACATAATTACGTTAAAAACATATTTAATGATAATTAGAGTTTATTACTTGATACTTTTCACTTAAATTATCCTCGTGCAATTTTTTAAATAATATTAGCAGTCAGTAAGTAAATCAATGGAATAAATTTCATAAAGTACTATGCTCACAAATTTTAGCTGCTTCAGTAACATAAATGACACTAGACCATAAATGTGATTTTTGTTATTGGTTGCACTGTGGTATGTATAGGTACAAAAGTGCTATACAAAAACAAATTGTTCAATTTAAAGCAAGATTAAAATTTCCGGCAGGCTTAAGCTGAGAAAAATTGCACAATTCACTTCCCTAAGCTGCAAAAATAGGAAGAGGTCAAATTGTGCAAATATTTCATATCAAAATAATATATAAAATAATGCGGACGATATAATACGGTATTTCATCCACATATCAAAAAGTTGCATAGAAAACGTATACTAATTGCTAAAAGAAACATGCAGGAATAGACACACTTGGATAGCATGGTGAGTGCCCAGCCATCCACTGCTATGTCTTGTGTTGCAGCCAGGAAATTCAAGGCAAAGAATATTGATGTTAGGAAGAGGATGTTTGGTCGAGTTGAAGGGTCATCTTCAGACCCCAGCAGCGTGTCCAGGCTGTATGACAACACCAGCAGGAACACACCTGGGAATGGGTTGAAACACATGTATAATCTTTACACATTAATGAAATAAAATTTTGAAAAGAGCATGTAAAAATTGTTAAAAATTTTGGTGTGAGATAACATTCACTAACTGCTGACTTGTTTTTCAAATGAATAAATTTGCTAATTTAGCGGGTTGCAAAAAATTAAGAAAGTGCAATCATATTATTCGTTAGGTTCACCTGAATATTGCTTTTGAGAATAAAACTATTTATCCTCATTAGAAGATAATTGTGTTAATCTTTTTGACTTGCAAAAAATTATATATTTATTCTTTAAGTATAAAAATACATCAATTTCAAATTAAACATCTTTGGCACACTTGATATAAATTAAAATGTACTTCTCCAAGCAGCTGCTCACCAATGAGGTACTGAGCTGGAACCATCCACGACTTTCTTCTTCCCATGGATGGCCAATAGCACGAGTCTACGAGAGGAGCCCATAATAGCTTCACACTGAAGGGCCACAGGGCTAAACTAAATGTTGCCTGTGTGATTGATAAGACATTTGTTATGGCTGGAAAACATGAAACAATATAGTTGAATTAATACACAATAGATGTCATTTATACATATAAACAAATGTTGCGGTCATTATAGTATCAGTTAAATTACAAGGAAATTATCATGTTTATATCCCACAAATTGACATATCTCATCAGTCAAGAAAAATTAACTTAGGAAGAATAATAAAGTTTTTTTAAAAGTCAAACAAAAAGTTAGGACAAAAATTTAATTTATATTTTTATTATCTGAATTGAATTTAGACCATGATGTTTAAATGCAACACAAGAATGTTGACAGAGATAATTATGGGACCTATTAGCATGACTAATTTTGTCTTCTCTGATACAGGTAGAAAACATCAATAAATAAATCAATTAAAAACTGCTAAATGCTTTTATAGACATAAAGGATTTTTTTCTTATTTCTCAACCAGTCTTAAAGTTGATCTTAGCTTAGCAAAACAAAGAGTTTAGGGGCAACTAATTAGATTAAATTGCCTTGGAAAACTACTGACAAATTTTGCAATAAAAAAAGGTAGTACGGTAGTGCATTAAATTCTAAAGACACAGGATTCAAAAATGGTAAGGTAATTTTTACGGGCAATTATCATGGAAAATGAAATAACAGATTGACAGCAAATACACTCAAGGCAGCATAAATGATAAACACTACCTAGTCAATATACCTATACCTATATATTTCTACTTACCTGTTCCTTGTAGGAAATGTTCCTGTTCTGAAGGATCATTGGGATGCTTGCAGAGAGGCCCAATGGGATGCCTTGCAGAATATAGAGGAAAAGCAATAGACAGATGTTGCCTGCCTCAGATTTTTCTCTTGTAGATACAGAACTTGCTGATTTTGAATGGCTCTCCAACATTGTTTCTGGAATATTTAAAAGCATTATAATAAATACAGATATAAGAAGAGGGAAATGAATATTAAAATGCAATAATGTTAGTAGCTTAATCATGGATGCTGCACCTACTTATATTACCATCAAACAAGGTAATAAGGGACTGTCCTCTGCCATGGCATAAAAATGTTATAGCAGCCAAACTAATTGAAATACTGCAAAACTAAAGATAGTGGCATAAACTTCAACATTTTTCCTATCTACGTAGCATAAAGTAAGTTGAGAAATCATACATTTACTAGCTCTGAATAATCCCTAAAAAATATAACTCAAAACTCACTGCAGTGAGTGACAGAAAGCGCATTTTCTCATCAACAAAAACATGCAGTCACGGATGGACAGACAGATGGACATGGCAAGCACAACAGTGAATTTTTTCATAAATGAGAAAATGCACTAAAAATGTTGAAACGTGATATTTTAAAAATGTACCCACACCTGTTAAGGTTTAGTTGTAGTTAAGAAGGAATTTAAAAGCAAAGAAAACAGCCAGAATATTAACCATTTCTTAAGAATGAAAACGTTTCGGAGTCCAGCTCCATCGTCAGTTCAAAAGTTCAAAACCTATAAGAAAATAAGAATCAATTAGAAAACTAAATTCACATCGAAGATAAAAACATAAATTGACAAAATAAAAACAAATACACATAAGGATGAACTTTTGAACTGACGATGGAGCTGGACTCCGAAACGTTTTCATTCTTAAGAAATGGTTAATATTCTGGCTGTTTTCTTTGCTTTTAAATTCCTGGTAAACTTGCGACTTAAGCAATCTAGTAATTTTTGCGCTTGTAGTTAAGAAATATTGACCATAGTAAAAAATTATGCTTGCTGTGTATGCTAAAATTCATCAACGGAATTTTTGTACCTTAATCTAAAACAAAATGGCAGCCATTTCTGCATGATGGGGTATTAAGAGACACCCCACAGGGTAATATGGGACATCCCTAAGACCCTAAAAGCGCATTTACAGCAGAACCTTGGTTAGTGAAGGCTTCAGTCACCAAAAAAATTAGTTAAAGACAAAGAATTTTGACTAAATTTACATATCTCAGCAAAAAATTCACTTGACAAAAAATTAATGCATCATTGATGATCACAAAATTGTGCATGGAATGCCATAAATATAATTGTGCACCAGGCAAATAGAATGAAAAGTAATAAACCCAAACTTTGATTCATTGCTCCAAAAATATGATGGTTATCACTAAAATATTCCTCTCTTTTTAGGTGTTTTTTTACAATCCTTTTTGTGATAGTGAATTCACTTGACTCAAATAAAAAGGTGCAAAATTACATGCCCAGTCCTGTAAGTTTGAAGATACAGAAGAAATGCTATATATACAGATGATGCAATAAAGCTTGCAGTAGACTAGGACCTAGGTTGTTGTCAACAGCAGTCAGCAGGTCCATGTATAAGGTAATATCATATCAATATACCTACTGCAAATAAGTTTTCAGGGGTGTCCAGTATTACCCCAAGGCCCAGGCCCAGGGCCCAAGCAGGCTGGAATTCTAAGAATGGAAGTTCACTTATAAAAAAGCTTTCCACCCAAGGTGAAAAGCTTTCCTTTGATACAGTGCTCTGCCATGTTACTGACTATATATAAATGTAAAGATGGATCATAAGTGGACAAACTGTTTCAAATTTCAATTGTATAGTACATCAGGTTTGTTATAGAATAATTTGGATGTTGTTTGATAGATATTTTTTATTTTATTTAATGGATTTTTTGAAAAATTTTCCAGGCCCTTTGTTCATAATGAAGTTTGTGTTAAGTATTTAGTTAACCAGTACTGTAGCACATATACCATATTTGGGGGCGGGGCTTATGGACACAACCAATCACAGCTTGAAAGCATCTCCATCAACCAATCACAGCTTGAAAGCATCCCAATCAACCAATCACAGCTTGAAAGCATCCCCATCAACCAATCACAGCTTGAAAGCATCCCCATCAACCAATCACAGCTTGAAAGCATCCCCATCAACCAATCACAGCTAGAAAGCAAAATAACATTACAATTCCATTAACCAATCCAATCACAGCTGGAAAGCTGAAAGGGGCTAAAATCACTATCTTATCAATCAATCACAGCTGGAATTCTGGAAAGGGATAGGATGTGTACATAATTGACTGAAAGTGTAAAGTTCCTGGCCTTTCCAAGCTTTCAGGTCCTGCTTTCCAATATGCTATGTGTACTGGTTAATTTAATATCCCTCTAGAATTCCACACTGGGCCCAAGTGAGGTGTTCTTTATTACCCCATTTTCATCGTGCAGAAATGGCCACCATTTTATTTTGGAATGAGGTACAAAAATTTCATCAATTACATTTTTAAGCCAACACCTGTGAGTGTGAGGCTGTGTGCAACTTTTATGTAAGTAAAATTTTTTAATACAGTGAATTTTTTTTGTGCTACCAACCTCAGCAGTGGTACGTACCTACTTTTCCCAAATCTCACTTTTCACACTTTTCTCAGGGATTTTGTAGAGGTAGCAAATGTAGGATTTTTCAAGTTGCTTTATGCTAGGTACCGTAAAATGGGGTTACTTTGACCGGCAGGGTAACTTTGACCACTTTTCATTTTTTTAATAAAAACCCCCAAAACTCAAAATCAATTTGACATAGAAAAATTTTGTCAATGGCTGTCAAAGGCCTAATACTGAGGCTAAGTAACAATAGAAAGATTGAAAAAGTTTGCATATCTAATAGGTTAAAAAATTAATAATGTGACCCACAAAAAAGAGCTATTATTTAAAGCCTGTCGGAGTACACCCTCCAAATTTTTTATTTTTTGGTAAAATAACTCCAGGTTTTGATGCATTGTAGTAGAACTCTTCTAGTTACATACCGGTATGCAAAAGACAAATTTTAGGAAAGTGTCATAGTTTGCAAATGGGGGGTGCCGCCCCCCAATGGGGGAACTTTGACCACCTAATGGCAGCCGTGACAGGGTAACATTGACCAGCTTGGAAATTAAGTTACAATTACCATAGGTACCTATATAACCTATTTTATGTTTGATACACCTATTGGGCTATTAATGTTTTTGGTATTATTGCAGATTAACTACATCCAAAAAAAGGGTGTTTTTTTTTTTAATTATATGTTTTTTGGGGTGTAGATTGCGAATCTGAAATCCATTTTTGGCGGTCGGCATCAGAAAACCGATTTTTTTCCGACCCAAAATGAAAAAAATCGGTTTTCCGATGCCGACCGCCAAAAATGGATTTCAGATTCGTAATCTACACCCCAAAAAACATATAATTCAAAAAGAAAAACACCCTTTTTTTTGGATGTAGTTAATCTGCAATAATACCATGTTTTTTTCTTTATGTTTCAGACTCTACAGTCTACAGAGCCTTATATATAGTAATTTTAACTTAATTTCCAAACCAGTCAATGTTACCCCATCACGGCTGCCATTAGGTGGTCACATTTCATCCATTGGGGGCAGCGCCCCCCATTTGCAAACTATGACAGTATATAATGACACTTTCCTAAAATTTGTCTTTTGCATATGTAACTAGAAGAGTTCTACTACAATGCACCACAACCTGGAGTTATTTTACCAAAAAATAAAATCGATTTTAACACCCGGTCAAAGAAACCCCAAGAGCTGGGGTAACAAAGACCATCACTTTTTTTAAGTTACATCGAAACTATGAGAGGCAGGAGCCAGCAATTTATGGTGAGTAAAGCTAGAGTATAGACCTGTATTTTGTGTGTTTCAATTTAAGTTAAACTTATCCAGTAAAAAAATGGCATCATTTTGAAAAAAAGTGGACAAGTTAGCTAGTATAACTTACAACTTTACTTCACAAATCACAAGACATAGCAAACTGCAAAGATGACAAAATCAAAACAGGAATGCACAGAAATAAAGATAAGTCAAAACTCAATAGATAAGCATAGTATTTACATAATTTAGAATTATATTTTGCTACTTTAACTGTTTAACACTAACCTTTTACAGAATAGGAAAATTCAGTACTGGTAGATATGTTTCTTTTTCGACTTTTTTCCATGACTAACAGTCTAATAGGAACACAGTAGGCTACACAGTCCAATCAAACAATTTATAAAAAGTAACAAGATACGACGCAATTTTAAGAATAAAGCAGCTTTAGTTTTCAAGAACGCGACAGTACCAGCCTACCCAGATAACGCCAGAGGGGTAGTCCAAGTCAAACTGACATTTGTAATATGTTTATGACAGGGAAACTTGACTAAGCCTACCAATGTCAATCAATTTCAGCAGAACTCCACGTCGCACCGCAAAGTGCAAACGTCTAATTCTGACTTGGATTTTGGACAACGTTTATTTTTTTACCTTAAATCACTGAAAATAGATCTGGGCGAGTCAGTTCCCTTTATGAATGATTGATTGAAAATACACGAATGTAATCAATCAAAACATTCATATTACAACTCAAATAATAAGGTAAAGAAAATTAGCAAAGAGGAAAGAATTTGAAGGTTATATCGACTTCTCAGGTATCAATTGTTGGGATTTAGGGTAAATTTCAATCAAAGACAAATATAAATGAACTCTGAACGCAGCATTGATTCCCCCAAATTAGTTCATCAGCTGGCAGCGGCATGAGTTGTGCAGCAAGACTGAGCTTCAAATTTCAAGGTTAATCTTGCCGGTAATTTCAATAACTTTGTCCTACAAATACAAACGTGTAGTTTTCCCGTTGATAAGATCAATTGTTGGTGAGTACAAGATCCAGTTCACACTTTACAGTGTAATTGTATGATCATAAATTATAATATAAGCGTAACGGTAATGTATGAGTTTCATTTATGATTTTCAAGTGACAAGCATCAGTCGGAGTCGGAGTCGCCGAGTCGGTGAGACTTGACACTTGAGTTCAGTTGACTCAGTTGAGTTTGAGGCTTGAATGTGTTGACTTAGAGCCATGGAGATTGATCATCATGAAGTTCATGATCAATATTATACCTAGGCCGGTAGTTTATGAATATGACATGAAGTCATAATAATAATAATAATAGCGGTTTCAGCGTTTATTAGGCCATCCGCCATAGGCCTGTTGGCGATTCTTAACATCGCAGAACATTCACAGCATTTTGCGGTCTCGAACTCGCCACTTGCTGCTCCAATTCTGCTGTGCTTAACCGCCCGGCCTCCTTGCCGATTCTGACCAGAAACTGGCGGACAGAGCTGGGATCGAACCCGCGCCTCTATCTGAGCCAATCTTGGTACTCTGAACTTTAACCACTGGGCCATGAACTAGGTATACCAGTTCAAAGTTAAAATTTTGTTTTATCTTATCCTTAATTTTCTTTAATCATTTTTTTGTTTCTTTATTCTACAACTCGGACAAAAATGCCCATAAATTTGGCCGATTTCTACTGTTCCAGTTGAACAGTTCCAGTAATGAGTAAATCCAGTGTTCCCAACTTCCCATGGCCACTCATTGGCCAGGGCCCACTGTGGACAAGGTGTCATTTGTGTCGCGAAGATCGCCCTTTCAAGCTCAAAATGTCGCCATTGTCATTGGAGATCTGTCGCCAGAGCATGATTAGCCACTAAAGTTTGTGGCCAAAAAATAAATAATAATATGCCATAATTAGGTCTTTTTTGTCAACATGACCCAGTAGGCCTAACTAGTGAAACAACAGTCTACTATGATCGGGATTGATAATTGCATGGGTTACGGCGCGCTGGGAAAACTGCCATGATAAATGAGCTCAGACTGCTCAGTAAGATATTTCTACCCAATTTAATTGGGAATTACATTTTTAAAAATAGAAATTCAAAATAGAATTAGGCCAATTCTATTTTATAACAAAGAAATTCAGACATGACAAAGATTTATGGGTCCGTAGGTACAATGGAAGGTACATGCGATGATGCAAATAAAACTATAATACGAGCAGTGAAATTTACACACTGATGCTAGGTATAAGCACCACTGTTCAAGTTGATTCATCTACATTTATTTGAATACTGCTTGACTCCGTTCATTCATCCAACTGACTAAATTCATATTGTTAAACAAAACCTTTTCATTCAATATAGAAGAATACATATATACTCAGCTGGAGCTGGTGAGTGCTGGTCAGCTGAGAGGAGTCTCTACTCTCTGGAAGCAGAGTCGGCAAAAGTGAATTTATAAATTTGTTACTAATCATTTTTAGGTAAATTTGTCGCCAATATCTTCTGAAGGCACATAATTAGCTGATAATTAGTCACCAAAGATATTTGAATATTCTGACACTTTGTCCACAGTGGGCCAGGGCCTTTTGGCCCCTTTCCTAATTTCATCAGGCAAAGGAAGAGAAATGACATAAGGCCTGTTTCCACCTGCAAAATCTGTAAAAAATTATCCCATTTTACTTGCAATTTCTGGAAATATCAGCGCACTGTCCACTGAGCAGAGAGTGGATGAATATTGCAAGATCTTTGGCAACGCTTCAGTAGCAAAATTTACGCCTTCAGAAGATCTTGCCGACACATTTAGATTGAATTTCTTGCATTTAATATATTTGTCAGTCTTCAGCCAACTATTTAAAAAAAAGTAAGGTTTCCGATATGTTGGATGGATCAGGATGCAGTGAAGCTTGTCCGGAAATCAATTGCAATGAGTTCCTGCCAAAAAAATGTAAACATCAAGCTTACAATTACATAGTTGCGGTCACATTAGAGTGGTCAGACTGCATTATCACATGTTCAGTTGACACTTGCTGTACAATCGGACTGTTATTAGGGAAAAATTAGTTATTTGGGGTAACACGTGCATGCAACCTCATAAATAAGTTTGTGGCTTGTAAATAGTTTTTCATTACTCAGCATAAATGGCTTTTCATTAAAAATTACCCGGCAATGCATCTTAAAGTTACCCGGCGACGCTTAGGGCTTAAAAACCCATATACTGGCAATGCTGCATCCACCCTCTGCGCCCTGGTTAATCAGCCTGATATTCCAGATGGTATTTGATAATGCTGTTGTGTCCCTCCTACTGCTACTTTTCCAGGGCATAGTGGCAAACCAGAGCTTGTTTAGAATCAGTTCATTTTTAATTTCCTCAATTACTCAAGACTTAAACCAATTTATTATGTATGATAATGCTGGTAGTGGTATGTCCAGGGTGAGGAGGAGGGTGCAAGCAGTGTTGCCAATATATGGATTTATAGCTCAAGGCATCACCAGTATTTTCAAGATTCATTGCCTGGCAATTTTAATTAGAAAATGCTTCAAACAAGTTTGATAGTATATCCCTTACTTTGTGTGTATCCCTTACTATTTTATCCCTTACCCCAACACTTGCAACTCAACATATATAACTTGGCAGCTATCTGGCAGCCATGACTCATGGTGCCATCTATTGAAAGAGCAGCAAAGTAGAGCGAGGCTCAACACGATTCTGCCACCCGGACCTCCAAGAGATGGCACTGTGCTCATATCAACAAAGCTACAGTATTGTGAACCCTACGTTCTGTTGTTGTTTGTTGCAACCATCATGCTTGCCAGGGGGAGGCTCTGGTGGCGGGCAGGGGGCCGGCACCAGAATCTACGCATAACAACTGCCTATAGTGCGGTGTGAGGACGGCAATCTCCCTGCGGAGGGCCTGCTTGGTCTCTCTGTAGGCACCCACAGGCATCATGCCATTATCCAAGAAAGGTGTGACCAGGTGACCGAACCTTAACTGGATGGAGGCTTTCATGGGGCAGTCACTCAGGGGGGGGGGGCAGAAACGATACAGAATGAGGTATGGTAGGGCTGGAGGGGGCTGGCAAGGAACTGGGCACAAGCCAGGTCCAGATGCGTGGCTAATGGGAGGATGCCAGTCTCCTGGTGAAGGTGGGAGATCGGGGCCATTTTGAGGCAGCCAGTGGCTAGTCTCAATGCAGTGTTTTGAGTTATCTGCAGGCTGGCAACTGCTGTGCGTGAGGCAACAGGGTATCAGATGGGGGCTGCGTAGTTCAGGATTGGGTGCGTGATGGCTCGGTAGGTGGCAATAATGTCCCTTGGAGAAGCCCCAGTTAGTACCAGCTAGGGCTTTTAGGATGCAAAGAGAAACTGTCGCTTTCGTGGCGATGGCTCTTGCATGAGGGGAGAATGTGAAGTGCGTATCCCAGGTGACGCCCAGGATTTTAGGGGTTTTATCCAGGGGGATGACGCTGTTGCAGATAGTTGTAGCAGGGTGGGATCGAGATTGGTGGGTGTCTGGCGTGAAGAGTGTGACTGAAGATTTACCAGGAGCCACACCCAGTTTCTTGGCCGCCGACCAATCTGAGACGCTCTGAAGGAACACAGCAAGCTCAGCTTCAGCAGCGTTGAGCCTCGGGGACGACACAAAGATGGTAAGATCGTTCGCATATGAGGCAATGTTGGGGGTTGGAACTGGGATGTCGGAGATGAAGTGGTTAAAGAAGGCCGGCAAGATGACCGAACCATGGGGCACTCCAAAGTGAACAGCCCTGAAAGGTGATTGCGTTCTGAGATAGAGGCAGGATGCCAGCCTGCCTCTAAGGTAGCAGCACAGCCAACGGACCAGGTTATGATGTAGGTCCGAGGCCACGATCATGCTCAAAAGGAGAGGGTATTTGACGCTGTTGAAGGCCTTTGAGAGGTTGATGGCAGCAGCGATTGTGCGGGCTGGAGGGTGCCGGGAGTTGAAACCCATCGCGATCTGGTGCGCGAGCAGGAGGAGGGCAGTGACAGTGGAATGTCCCGCCTTAAAACCATGTTGCGAAGGGTTGGTGGTGAGAGATCTCAAGATGTATGGGAGAACCAGGCGCTCAAGAATCTTGGCAGCCGGGCAAAGGAGGGAGATAGGTTGTATGAGGAGCCCTGGTATCTGGGTTTGCCCAGTTTAAGAATTGGAATAATTATAGAATTTTTCCAAATGGATGGAATTGAGGCTGTGGAGACAGAGATGTTGAAAATATGGGTGAGGAACTGGAGGCCATACGGGCCGAGGTGCTTTAGACGAAGAACCGTGAGGCCGTCAGGACCCCTAGCGAAAGAGTTGTTGGCAGCTGAGATGGCAAGCTTCACCATGTTGGGTAAAAGGGGCTAAGTCCCTGTCGAGGGGATGTTGGGCTCGTATTCAACAAATGAGGCGGCGGGTGGAGGGGCTCTGAGAGTGAGGAGCGACCGAAGTGAAAAGCTTGCAGAAGGCGGAGATCTTGCGTTGGGAGGAGAGGGAAATCTGACCAAATTGGATTGGCTGATTGGGGGGAGGGCGGTTCCTCTTTCCAGCTAGGGAGCGGAGGAGATTCCAATGTTTGGATTGGTTGGTACATCTGCTGTGCAACGCAAGATGTGTCTGTATAGAGAGGCCTATTTCCAGGTTGAGATCTGGGAGCCGTGGGTCGGCTGGGTTACTTGCCCTAATGTCATCCCCTTGCTCCATGAGCAACCGGGTGCTAGGGTTACCTGCTGGGGAGAAGTCCTTCCTGAATCCGGCAGGGATATGCTGTCTGGCAGCGGTTGTCAGGACTTCCCTTAAGGTTGACTCTGCCGTCTTCAATGGCTGCCGTGTAGGTGGGCCAGTCAGCTTTTTTGAAGTTGACATAGGAGCAGGCAGCCTGGGGGGTGGGGAATCAGCAGAGGAAGGGAGATGGATGGTCCGAGTTGAGGGCAACTTGCGGAGCCCAGGAGGTGCTGAGGAGTAGGTGACCGCTGATGATGGCGAGGTCCAGAGAGGAGGACGGGCCATGGGAGGGGAGGTGGGTTTGGGAGTTCTCATTGAGGTAGGTGAGGGAGGAACCAGTGACAAGGTCGTCGACTACGGTTCCTCGCGCTGCGGCTCTCTGGTCTTCCGTGTGGGAGAACCAGGAGGGATGGGCGTTAAAATCACCCACTATCAGGCAGTCATCCGGGATGGAGATAATGTCCGCGAGCTCCGGGGAGTATACCGTGGGGCAGGAGGAGGCTGGTGGGATGTATACATTGATGATACAGAGAGGTGAGCCGTTGAGAGGAGTGGAGATTGCCATAGCCTCCATGGTGTTGCCACGTAGGAGGGGAGAGATGTCTTGTCCAGTGTAGGGGACATCATGGCAGATCAGGATGAGGAGACCGCGGCCGTGACCTCTGGGGGGGTCATTGCGCTCCAGCGCGTATCCGGGAAGGATGCGGTTGGGATGCTGCTGATAGCTTGGTCTCTTGGAGACAAGCAACCACCATGTCATTCTTGGCGAGGTAAGTGGCCAGTTCAACTGCACTCAATTGAATCCTGTTGCAGTTGCTGGAGGACGCAAAGGTGGCAGGATGCCAGCAAGGGGGGAGGCCGGGGGGAAGGAGGTCTGGCTGGGATGGGGTCAGACCATCTGCACGTAGGGTAGATCCAGTCTGCGGAGTATAGGTGGATGGAGAAAAGGCTGGAGCACCGCTTGTGGTACCAGGCGTTCCACGTGGAGCACACGAACGAGTAACATCGCTTTGTAACCAGGCGGGAGCAGACTGAGCAGGGGTGCGGGCCAGGGTTGGGATGGATACCCTGGGTCAGGAGGAGAAGGATGAATAGGAAGAAAAGGTGAGAAGAGAGAAGAGCATAGTGTGCCTCAGGAAAGATAGGCGGCCAAAGAGGTGGGTAGGGAGAAGGGGAGGCCGAGGTTCCCCGACCCTTGGTCGAAAAAATGAAGAAAGGAGCCTCCGTCTGGTAGCGATCTGGGCGGGGGGGCCTCTGCCGTTTGGCCTGGCCCGTGAGTATGCCGGGCATCCGGCCGACGCGCAGGTCAGGATACCCCCACGACATAGACACGGCAGAGATCGGGGGCCCCTACGTCCTAGCAACCATTGTTTAGTTCTAGAATTATTATTCTCGTTATTCACTGCATCTGCCACTTGCGGGTCCATCAGATTTTCAACTATTTTCTAAATAAAAGACTAGCAAGTATCTAGAATGCAATAATTTCAATCCAAATGTGTCAGCAATAACTTCTGAAAGCATAAACTTTGCTGCTGATGCATCGCCAAAGATCATGTGATATTCACCCACTTTTTGCACAGTGGCTACTTCTGGGGCAAAATTAACAAGATCAAATTGAAGCAAATCTATTTGTATAATCATTGAAAATTTAAATCATTTGGATTTGTGATTGGTTTACTCTAATAATTGTAAAATAGCAATATTTGTCTAAAGAAGTTGCACTAGTATATCAATCCTACTCAGGCAGGATTGGAAAATCCTATTATTTTCTGAAATATTTGTGCTTTAATATTGTATGCAAAATTTTGGTAGGTATGAATTATCCTAAGCAGGAAAATTGGCCAGAAGCCACCTGTGAATCAGACAAAACTGGAAAAAATCTGTGAATTTTCAAATTTCAGCCATTTGGGCCATTCCTATGGCCCTTAATGATTTAGGTATTTAATTAAAAATGAGAAGATTGGCATATTTCCATCTACAATTCTTGAAAATTCCCCAACACACAATTGATCATCCTAGTTCCCAGTAATTTTAAGGAAATTTTGCCTAATGTTCCAGATTGGCTTTGAAGTCATTAATTTGATTAGATAAAAATATTAAAGTTCCCATTTCTCAAACCTATAATTTTTGGAAATATGGAGCTTCTGCTATTCAGTACCATGCTATGCAAAAGTATCTTGAAACAATGACAGCCAGTGTGCAGTCCATGGCAAATATGTTACCTACCATTATATTATTTTTGGGCTTAAAATGTTGTCAGCAGTATTTAGTTGTTGCTGCCTGTACCTCCCACTCGTTTTGAGTGCTAGTATCCGTCAGCCACAGCAATTGTCATGCAGGAATGTCTGTGCTGATCATCTTGCATTGGTCATATCAAAAGTAATGGGCATATGTCTGTGCCCATCTTTGTGCATTGGCTAGGAATTTCAATTCAAATGCACATTGTAGTGTCAAACGAGGTAGTAAGGGGTGATTTTGACCGTTTTTCATTTATAACTTCTTACCATGAAACATTTGGTAAATGAATTTGGGCCCATTTTAAAGGTATTAGCAATTTAATCTACTATGACAAAATTGACAATCTATGAACAATTTTGTGATGACCAATGATGCAGTAATAAATTGTTGAGTGTGTTTTTTTGCTGTGCAAGGTAAATATAATAAAAATTTGTTGTTATTAACATTTTTATCATTAACTGGAGCCTTAGCTAACCAAGATTCTACCTTAAATGTGTTTTAGGGGTATCCCAGATGACATCAGGGAGGGGGGGATGTCCCATATTACCCTGTTGTGTGGAAATGGCAGCCATTTGGTTTTGGATTGAGGTACAAAAATTCCATCAATGAAGTTAAAGCCCACACCTGTCTGAAACATTTTTGAGCAAAATTTCTTAATATGGCAAATATATTTTTTACTTTAACTAAACCTTAACAGAAGTACATTTTCAAAATATCACTTTTCAGTTTTTTTTTTCAGGGATTATCTAGAGCTAGTAAATGTACAATTTCTTAACTTCCTTTATGCTTCATAGATCGGAAAAATGTTTTTAGTTTTGCAATATTTCAATTAGTTTTGATCCTATAAAATTTTTACGCTGTGACAGAGGACTGTGCCAATTTAACCTGCTCATCCCTTATTACCCTATTTGATGGTATTTGCAAAGTAAATATGTTGACAAGATCTTCCAAAGAAATAAAATTTGATATTGAAGTGTTATTAAAAACATTTTGATATTTGATTACTTCTCTACTCCCTGAATGTCTTCACCTAAAATGTTTTATTCACAATCTTGTAGTTAGGTATTATCATAACAGAGACATTTTAACTTCACGTTTTCTTTGCACAAAACTTGAAAAATACATTATGTGTTTAAATAAATCTTAGGTGAAGAAAGATGTTCATGTTGCTACTTCTTGGGTAGGCAAAAAAAGTTTATTCATTATTAATGCTATATTACTAGAAAGTCATTATTTTGGGCCTAATTAAAATTTAATTTTCCAGGTGCCACAAGTGTATTGAACCTTGTTTAACATGCCTTCGCGATCAGAAGACATCTTAGAAGGTTTCCAAATGTGAGTGCAATTTCTTTTTTACTTCCAAAAAGCTGAGGAAGCCATAAAATCTATGAATAGTAATCTGTTATACCAGAATTGAGAACGTTTTTTATGTACTACGGTATATCAAATACACTTATATAAATTCACATACACATTTACTCTACGTGCAAAATTATCTTCAGATTTTTGCTGCTTATGATAATGGTGTCATTTGGGGATAGAAACTATAAGTTATAATTATTTATTCATTTCACCAAATTTTTCTCATGAATCAAATTCATATAAGGTTTCCCCCTCATTAACTTTACTGTCTCTATGTTCGCAACTGTGCATTAGGTATTTATTGAAGCTAAGGATTATTACACAATCATTGCCCAGTAACTACTTGAACATTTCCTCAGCAACTGGATGAACTTGCGGGATGCTGACACAGGACGCATATTGTGGCAAGGAACTGATGATTAGTAAGCATTTTCTGCAAATGAGTCATTTATGCTATATTTTTAAAAATATTGAATTTCTAGGTGTAGTAATTTGCTTCTGGCTTGATTTTATTATTCATTATCATACTTTATTTGCTCAGGGTAGTTATAGTGTTCATCATAATCAGTAAACTATTTCTATTCCTCTTCTAAATTTCTTTTTCACCTAAAAAGTTGTGGTACTGCTTGCAGCATTACTGATTTATAACCCTGAATGTTTTATTTGTTAGGCTTATGCAAGAACTAATTATTCCGGTCCTGATCACATCAATTTGAGCGATGGTTTGTCATTGCTGGTGTAGATGATGCTTCAGGTGTAAGCTTTTATTCAAATAACTAGCCTATCTTAATTGACTTCCTGTACGCGATACTGTGTCTATTATATAAAATTTATAATTTATTTTTATACTGATAAACACAAAATTTTGTCTGTTATATATGATGCCTATTTATGTATTATATAGTATTCTGACAAAGAGGCACATATTGGTGCATATACGAGTATGCCAACATTTCAGCACTGCGCCTGACATGGAGCATGAAGCTCGAGTCCCGCGCAAAATTCTACAGTCCAGAGCTGTGTCCCGTGAGATTTCCTTCTCTAGTGTTGTGCCCATGGATAAATTCAGACTTGAACAGCGAGTGTATTACAAGGTAAGTTACTGGATGATTTGAATTATAGGTATCCTTGTAACCTCTATTTTGGTGTTGCAATCTTCGTACCATAAACTGAACTTATCTCCTATTGATTAAAAAGTTCGAATCACTCAAATTCGTCAGCATTTATGACCTAATTGAGTCTAGACAAGCTAATGTGATTATCCATTCAAAGTTTTCATTGTGTGAGGCCCTCTTGTTTATGTAGATTTTCACTATTCTCAGAATATATTGATTAAACCTAGACTATAATGGCTTTATGCTGCAATATGTACTACTGAAGTGTGATGTATTAACGTCACGACTAACAGTGTTTCGTGACGCATAACGACCTCAAATCAGATGTATTAACGTCACGACCACTAATGTTGCGTGACGCGTTATGTCCCGAAGCGTGATGTATTAACATCAAGACCGCTAATCTCACGCGCCACGGTACCCGAAATGAAGTGTATTAACGTCACGACTTCTGATATTGCGTGAGGCATAACGCACCGAAATGGGATGTATTAACGTCACGATCACTAATCTCACGCGCCACGGTGTTCAATAATATGATAGCGAGTTGGTGCTCAGTGCTGCATGCCACGCGCGGGTCAGCGGCCGCTGCTGCAGAGACCGCTCGTCGCCATTGATCGCGCGCATACGTAGTCCGAGCAGCCGTGCTCACGGTCACCGTGCGAGCTTCTGAGTAACTTGCCGCCCTGCTACTTACCCCTCTGCTGCTACTTGTTGGGCCCTTCCCTGCCGCCATGCCCCTCTCGTCATGCCCCTCCAGCCATGCCCCTCTCGCCATGCCCCTCCCGCCATGCCCCTCCCGCCATGACCCTCCCGCCATATCCCTCCCGCCATGCCCCTCCCGCCATGCCCCTCCCGCCATGCCCCTCCCGCCATGCCCCTCCCGCCATGCCCCTCCAGTATACCCATTTATACTGAGTTTGATGGATCGATTAGTCGCCAGGTTGTGCCGTGAGCTTCCAACATTTATTGAACTTCAGCGGCCTTGCTCCCTTCCCCTTCATCGTGATAAATTCAGTAAAGCAATTTATTATTTTATATCTTGAATACTTAACGAAGAAGCAAGCAAGAAGTATTGAGCTAGCAAAGCTGCTGAACTTAACTGTAATGGAGTCGTTGAGTTGTGACAAGATCGTTAGATTGTGATCTCTTAATTGCTTCAAAATTGCCTTGAATTTCCTTTATTCGCAATCCTGAGTTTTGATCCAAACGCTCGAAACGAGCGTCAGCACGTGAAAATGTACCGTATCTTTAATTAAATAAGCGCCGCTACTTATTTCTTATGCTAATAACTAAAATAATAACTGTTCTAATTTCAGCACTTGTTCCATGACCGCTCAGTCGATCGATGGTCTCTGTTCGTGACTCGAATTTGTCGCCTTTTTTAGTGCCTCTCAGTCCCCTTATTCCCCGTTTGTTCCGTATTTATTACCCATAAAAAATACCTCTACTGCCCTAGTAATTTCTTTTCTAGGTCACTTTGATGGCTTGCCATCATTATTCTCCTCTCCAATCCACACGAATATTGACAAAATCAATGTAGACACTACATAAACTTATAATTCACTATTTATTTCAGTTATAAGGTAACTTGAGCGCTTAAATCTCATATTAACAAGTCTTTTAAAAATATAACATATGGTAAATTTGTGTTCTATATATATTTTTTTAAGTTATTTAATAATATGATTGGGTTGACATCTCGACTTGGTACATTTATTTATAGAGAACAGCGTCGAGAATCAATATTGGTCAACACTCGCGCTACTGCGTTGCCTTATGCAGCGTCGACAGTTCTCTGGCACGTTGTCGGCGCAGGCAAATCTACAAATAATAATTATATATTAACACAGCACTGTAATGAAATATACGCTAATTTGCGTACGCTCGTAAATATTCACTTGAGATTCTAGGGCGGTAATATCAACAAAGCTAAGTGCTTGTAACTCCGTCAGCCAATCACTGACGGCTGTCTCAGACTCTCAGCTAAACCCACCAATCATAGACGAGAAATCGACCGGCGCGTGTATATAAGCAAGTTTTCATTTTATGGCCCTGTTTGCGGTATCAATTTGTCTATTTTTGGCGTGCAGGACGCCATATTAGAGGAGTGGTTTTTCGACTTCGGTTGCGTCATCCCGAACAGCACGAACACCTGGCAGAGCCTCATCGAGGCGGCGCCTGAGTCCCAGATGATGCCCGCTGACCAGCTCAGGTGAACACTTATTCTACTGTTAGAATAATCATTATTCGAACACTAACAAGTGTTAGAATTCATGCTAAAAATTTTTTTGTAGTTATGGACGTTAGAATTGTGACAACGTTAGAAATCGAGCCAAGTTTTGATTGTTAGCACGGGTGTTAGAATTAATGATAACATTGAATGCTGGCACGGGCGTTCTAGTTCATGATATCTTTCAATTTTTACTAGCACGGGTGTTGTAATACGTGCGAGATTTTGATTGTTAGCACAAGCGTTAGCTTTTGTGATAACTGATAACTTCGGTTTATTACCACGTTTTTCTTAGCTCGCTTTCGTGTCCGTCTGGATGATCAAATCTTGCAATCGATATTTCACCAACATTCCCGCTAGCTAGCGCTCTGAAACTTTTAGGGAAGCTCAGCTCCCGATGACAATACAATAATCAATAATTTGTTGCACGTTTCCAGGCGTATTTATTCAATGAAATGCGTGGAATTTATTCAATTTGTGCATGAAATGAAATGAAATTACATGCACCAATGTATCCCCTCGAATACAATTTTCTACAGAACTTCGAAAAGAATTTTCTTTCGTGCATTTGCGTGGCCAACTGAAATAAAATGAATATTATGTAGGACTAAAAAGGAGAAAATAAAAGTCTTGAAAACAACTTTTAAAAAAAACGCGTTTTTCTTGTGGACTAAAAAGTAGAAAATAAATCATGGCTCGCCCCAAAAAACGTGTGTCGGGCAGATTTATGATCAAAGCAAAAAGCACACAACACACGAATTTTGGAAATTTGATGGTGAACGTACAGCCCGACCCACGTTTTTTGGGGCGAGCCATAATTTATTTTCTACTTTTTAGTCCTCAAGAAAACGTGTTTTTTTTTAATTTTTTTTAAGTATTTTATTATCATCAAGTTTTGATTGTTTGGAAGGTATCTTCTCCGTAAGCGACGATTTAGTGACCTTTTTAATAGACCTGGAACTTGATAATTTCTGGTAAGTTAAGTTTCACTTGATCAAGCAATTAGAGACGATATGTGAGCACCGAGGTCTTCTGCTGATCTCGGATTGAATGTGATAATCCGATGCATGACTTTTACCTCAATAAAATCTTACTAATTCTTTCAATTTAAACACGCAATTTATTTGATGTATTCAATCTGTATGATTATTTTTGTCGCAGTTTTTTGGGGCTCCACGTGATTCTCCTGTCTTATAAACTTCAAAGTCGACTCTGGTGTCCACATTCAGGAACGATGCAGCTCATGGGACGAAATTCTAGTATTTTTGTTCAAGATTTTTAAAAGTTATCTAAGTAATTGTTTGCATTTTCACAGGGCTTCGTCAAGTCTGAATTTAGTAAGACTGAATATATTATTTTGTTGCAGTGGTAACGTGGTTATCGAAACCAAGTTTTACGATGACGACCTACTGGTCTCGACGTCTAAAGTTCGTCTGTTCTACATCTGAGCTGTCGGACTGCTGAACCAAACTACCGTCACCTGCGTGGCACCTCATCACAAGTGCACCACGGGAGTGTGCTGCAACATTCACTAGTGCACCACGAGAGTGTAGTGCAACATTCACTAGTGCACCACGAGAGTGCAGCGTAACATTCACGAGTGCACCGTTAGGGTTTGGTGCAACTTTCACGAGTTCACCACAAACGAGGAGTGCACCGATGAAGAGTGGCTACATATAACGAGAACACGACGTTAGTGCAGCGCAACATTCCCTAGTGCAACACCGAAGTGTGCCGCCGTGGTGTTTTGTTGTAAATCACATTAAACGCACAGTCTTCCGCACGACTGGCATGCATATGCATCACTGCACTAACCTACTGACACAATATTAGTGCATTGATGCAATGAATGGAACAAAATCTCTGTGTATGAATACAAAGGTTGTTACCAGAACAAGTTAGTGAGTTGAACTGGAGCTTACGAATGCAGCTGTTGAAAACTATTGCAAAAATTTGTGCTTATTGCAAATTGTTTTCATGTTTACATGGTTACTCACGGTTGATGTTCATATTTGTTAGTTGGCCATTTATTATTTTGTTAGAGATACCCTGGCCACTGAAGTAACTAACTTCAACTCAGTCGAATTTCAAAGTATAAATTTCCTATCAAATTTGAAATGTAATGCTCTTGGCATACCTCATTAAAATTGTAACTTCAGCAGCAATCTCTTTTTATCAATTTTTTCAGTTCTGAATATTCGTTGCTAGTTAACTTACGAAAGGTTCCACTTTTAACGTGATATTTATTATAGTTGACATCGTTGTTTGTTTTTCCCTATGCAACTTTTGTTATTGTACTGTCCACGGGCGGCACTAACGGCTAATAAGCTCCGTCTTTGTCTTCATTGTACGTCTAATTTTGCGTTCAGTTATTTTGTAATTTTATTTTGTTCTGTATGGAAAATAAATACGACGAATTACGCTGGTAGTCTTTGGAGTTATATAGTATTGCAAGTGTCTAGTCAGCGATGAAACCTCGTAAATTCACCATTTATTGTGCCTCTTACATTCATCATGTGGACGAATGTAATGGTGCATGTCTGTGGCGAGGTTAGTACGTAGTCTTCTTATGTCGTGATTGTGCTCAAAATAAATCCGTGCCTGGAATTAGTTAACTGTTAACGCGTATGGAAATAATCGAGACTGCACCAAGCATGGTCCAGGTGTGGCCATCAATGACATTGTATCACGTTTTTTGACGAATTAGTTGTTGATTTCAAGTAAATCTTCCTTTTAGATGAATTAAACTAATAAGTTGTATATTTTTCTTACCGGCCAATTTCGAGTCCTAAGTTGTTTGAATAAGAAGTTGTTAATATTAAGTAGCTCTTTCTTTCGTGTAAACTCATTATTTGTACATTTTCGTCACGAAAACGAATGCCATTCCTACTTTATAATTGATTGCATGTAAGAATGTACTTCGCTCTTATTTTCAAGACAAAACGCACACATTCTGCTGGACTTCTTTTCAACTCGTCGGCGTTATTGCACCTCTTGCAGTTCTATTTAAATAGCTTTGAGATATGGCGACTGCGCTTTATTTTTCAATTGTTACTTACTTGCTGTGTCATTACTTATGTTTTCCGTTGAGTAACCAACGATTGACTTAATCTTTCTTATAAACGGTCTTTAGCATGCAGCTAAATATAAGATGCGGTTGCTGAGATTACATACTTACATTTTTGTAAGTAAAATGAACAGGTTTTCGAGTACCTATTGCGGAGGAACTCTACGTGGTTGTCAAGATCATTGTTTTTTTACCTTTATATTGGTAATATACATTTATTATTCACAAATAATAGATTAATGTTAATTGGCTCGAGTATGTGACCAGTTTATTGAAATGCAACGTTCAATGAAAAATCAAAAGATGAATAAAATGTTATATTAAGTGGAGCTCGTTAATCATATGCTGAAAAGGTGAGCTACGCTCAAATTCCCAAGACATTTCCATCCGAATTGTACTACTGAATAATCAATAAACCTTTTATCTAGCTCTAATATTATCAGGGAGTAAAAGTGGGAACCGAAACGTGTACTTGCAGAGATTTTTTAGATTTGCCAGCTTGTGTGAAATGTGAACAGATAACATGATTTTGTGCGAGAAATTAATTACTTCAATGGTACTACCGGGATGAAGAAAATGACATTAGTTAAGACATTGTCTAACCAGTAATTGGTAGGGCATGGTGGAGTTAATACTAAGCCATACTACTTGGTAACTACTAAGCCATAAGTTAACCAATGGCAGAAAAGCCGTCTAGTAGCTAATATCAATTGAGCAACGTGTTAAATAATATTTAGGGAACTGTATCATAAATCAACGCCTCTGCCAGAAACACGCCGCTCGACGACCCACTTTAATAGTAATAGAAGACTCGTTGAATCATTTTAACTCTTCGAATAATTGCATCTAATCATGTTTCTGTGCTTGCCTCTGTTTTGAACGATGAAAGTTAACTTTTGATGTAAATTTCTTATGAAATTTTGTATTTAGTATGCCCATTTTCTTGTGAGAATTAGAGAATTATCAGTGTTCATGTTATGATGTTTGTGTTCATGCTTCTTTCTGTTGCGTCTTTGTTGTAGGACTTGGCGCTTGAGTTCATAGATATCTCAGATTTCATTAAATCCAAGCTTTGTGGATGAAGATCATCGAAGAATTCATGACAAACGTATTGTGTCATGTATATATTATTGGTTAATCCATTATCAAAATCGGGCTGGTAAGTTTCATTTTGATCTAGTGTCTAAAATTATTTCTGATATTCTTCAAATGTCTGGGTCTTGTTATCATCAAAATTTCTTCGACTTGAACAGATATTCTTCATTTTTTATTATCAATTTATTACAAGAATAGAGAGGATCTAAGTGTCATTTTGTGTGCTCTCTTCAACGAGAAATTTTCAATTTCAACGCCATTAAGGATGGACCGTAGACTTGTATCTTTATGACGAATACCCCGTTCTAAATAATGGCGTCTTGAAAGCTAGAGATATAAAAACGATGTCAAGTAACTTCTACCCAATTGCATATCGTTGATATATAGTTATAGACATCATAAATTAAGTATGAATTAAAGCGATGTAACGATGTGGCTGTCAGATTCAGTCACAACCAAGGCTCAGTAAAGGGACCAATTACCTTCTAGTTGTTGATAATGTTTAGGTTTAAAGACATCGTTATTTTCATGACTAATCTCTAAGTCCTTGCTATGTTGCCATTTATGCGTTGCCTCATTGATGTAAGGGCGCGTACACATGTCGGTCCTCGTGAATTAACTCTGACCACGTGCAACGTGATTTATGCTCCGCAGAGGTTGTACCATGGGAGCCATCAACCCGAAAACTTTGCTATTCCTAACATCTAATCAATAGAATTTCGAGTCTTTGAATGAATTTAAAGATTATGTAATTTTCAATCAAGAATTTGTCAGGAATGAAACGTGAATGAAATTAGTCTCGATAATCATGAATGCTCGTGTCATGAATTTACATTATTTCCGTCACGTCATTGAGAAACAATGCACTGTAGCTCGTTTGACTTGTTATTTTAAGGAATTTTTTTTGGCCATCTTTAACGCTAGAATAATTTAGAAGAAAGGTACTGACTGACGTGTCTACATTTGAGCAGTTCAATTGTTTCTGAATATCTGAAACTAATTTCGTGGTTGCTAATGCATCGAATTACACTTGAATTGAAGCGATGACATTTTGCTTTTACGATGCCATTTTACCGTGATTTTGAACAAATTGAACTTAGTCTTTCCTTCGCGACTGTGTCCTACCACATCGGGATTGCACAGATGCTTCTAGTCTATTCTTGTCCGAGGACGAAAAATCGCCTCATTACCAAGCGTTCGTTCATTTCATTACTTTCTTTTATCTTTGATTAATTTGTTTAATTTCTCTACTGATATCTCGGTTAAATATTCTTCAGTCATCACGAGGGCTTTATAAGCATGCATCGCATCGGATCATCCTACTCTCACCTCACTAAGACTGCGTTTGCACGCGCACGTGTTTCAGCTTTCATATTATATCAGGTATCCGTCCAGGTATCACCGTCATGCTCTAAGTACATTTGTTTCAAAATTTTCGTGTTTTCAGTTACCTTTAATGCGGACTAAGTCTAAGCTCCAATAAACATAGCTATCTGCGCGTGCCTTGAGAAGCTGAGAAATTCTCGCAAATGTATTCATAGTTGTCCAGATGTTTTGGTTGAAAGGTCAAAGAATAAATAGAAGAAACAGGTGGTGGAGACTCTAATAGTATACACATAATGCATCCAATGTAAAAAATCGACTTGCTTACAAGCTAGGAGAGGACTCGAGCTTACTCACAGAGTTTTCAGTGGAACATCAACGTGAGAACAAACAGTCGCGAAATAACGCCAGCCTCGACGCCAGGCTTGAAAGATTACTTTGGCCCTAGAGCCAAGTTTAAATTCTGCCATATAATTAGCAGTATTCGATGTAGAATCTAGCTAAAACGAGCTGGGGAACGTTTTCACGTCAGATATTTTAGTGCATGACAGGAAGCATATACAACGAATGAATGTATATAGTACGTCGGTTGTGTGCCGACGGCAACAATTGGTACGCAAGTTGGCGACTGGCTGAGCAATGAAGGCAAATACAGTAGTAAGCCTATCTTAACACAAAAATCCTTACGTGAAGCTAGTGCCGACCATTGCATTGTTCTAATTATTAACAAAAATGAGACGTATACATTGCAAATATCCAATAAATTTAAACGAAAACTATTCTTAGCTATTAAAATGGCAGAACAACGATGATTCAACGACGCAGACAGCAGATATAGCGTCATCAACTCGCATGTTTTGTGTTAGAGAAGCGAGTCCAATGGCAGCGCAAGGACGTTTCAGTGAGCTGCTACGTACAAGGGTTGATCATAAGTATCAATTCTCTCAATCTTTCAATTGAAAATGGTTACAGCAGAGACGAAACTGAGTGCGTAGTAATTACAGACCAAGTCGTCATGAAATTCAAGTCATTCCAAAGACATTCTTCCAACTATATTAGATTAAAAGCTTAAAATAAGCATCTTCCTCGATAAAGAAAGAATCCTTCGACCCACAATATAGCAGATCATTGTAGTGTGTCTAACAGACTGCATATACCTACATTTCTTATATAATAAATCCACTGACTAATAGCAGGCCTAATAGACATTAATTCAAGATGGCGACAGCACAATCGCATCAGCAAACTAGCGTGCGGTAAGCCCGTGTCTCACTCTTGCAAGTTGTTTCCTCGCTTCTATATGAATAAGGAATATTGGAAAGTATATAAATTAAAGCATACGTAAGCTGGAGAGGTAATTCCAGCACACTAGAGATACACGAGCAGCGGTGAAGGATATTTGTACTGTATTGACTATCACTTTCTTAGTACATCAGTTAAACGGTCACATGATGGAGACGTTGCCTTATTTGCTTGTTCTAAGTTCATTCCAACAGTTTATGTTGAATATAAGAAAAGCCATGTCTAGTCTAAATGCTTCATATTACAAAATCTTATTCAAGATTATGCGATCAAGGTAACGTCTTTTAATTTTTTAAGTGTTGCCATCGAGATTAAATATCAATAAATCTCGCTGGCAAAGGACCCGAGTATAAGAATTTCATCATGGGCAGCCCGAAACAACAGCTTTCATGCTTGACAACTGTTACCACACGGCTGAGTACAACGCATGTGCATTGAAAAGATAGAAGTACCTACTCTGAAGCAAGCCCTAATGGCAGTGGAGCGGTAGCTATGAAATAAATAATTTACTAATTAGAGTAAATAAAAGAAAAGTGCAAGCAAAAACGTGGCTATCATGCAAGGCGTTTTACGTTTAGAAATAACAGCTCTTTATCACTTCACAACGAGGAGATAATGAATGGAAAATACCGGTGAAAATCACTAGCATGTGATTGTAATTAGTATTATAGTTCACCGAGATTCATACTATAATTGTGCCTACGAGCAGAAAATGGACGAAGAATTGGAGTTGGTTCTACACACCGCCTCTAAGCAACGTTCAAGGACGTTTGTATAACGTGTGGAGTACAAGACAACGTTTCCAGCTGGGCTTGCTGTAGTCTGGACAAATTGAATAACATTATCTGCATCAAAAATTCAAATGCAATTCAGAATACATGTGGACACATTGAAGACAAACGCCAAGACAGGAATATCTTCCATAAATCCTATTTAGAAAAAATATATGAGAATAAGACCTGCAGATCTAAGAAACCGCTATACAACCTTGCTTTGGGACACACCGGTAGCACTGATGTAATTCGGTCTTGCATCTAATTCGTAGGCTACACTATATATATGACTCATGGACACACAAGGCTAAAAAAACATCAACCACTCTTTACAGAAACTCTGTTCCTACTGGTTCGGTAATTTCCGTTGCTAAAAAACGAACTTCACGTATATCGTTGCCAAGCAAGCAGTAACATTATAGATGATTATAAGGTTGGTGTGAATGTCCCTAGGAGGTTGAGATATCGCGCAGCAATTTGGTGACGGTGCTTGTGACGGAGTTGCTGGTCGTCTGGCCGGGCGTCACGGAATAGTTCACCTGCAACCAAGAACTCTTGAAATTTTCAACAATTTCAACATTCGATAAAATTGAAACTAATTCACAGATTATTCGTTTATCATCGGTAAACAGTGTAACTGAATTGGTACATCATTGACACAATAATTTTTTTAGTGGCAACTTGAGCAGGAAACATTAAGGGGAAGGGCTGGGTAAAAAACTTTCTCGGTTATTTACAGACGGATCACTTTGAAACTTGGTACATGTATGTAAAATAAAAAAAGAGAAGGCTTTTATTTGTGTAAATTAAAATAAATTAAAGATAAAGTGAAATTCATAGAAAGCAGCCAATCGAAAAATTGGCATGAAAAAAAAAACCGTCTATTTTTCTCTTTGAAATATGTGTACCAAGTTTCAAAGTGATCCGTCTGTAAATAACCAAGATGGTTTCCTACCCAGACGCTCCCCTTAATAGTTAATAACGTGTTTGTACCAATTTACAGAAAATCTTTTAATAAAATAGATTAAGCTTGAGTCATAGCTGAATTGATTCTCTCTGCGGAATTTCTAAATGTGAGAAAGTAGGTATCACCTTGAAGAGGTAAGGCTGCACATCGCTGTACTCCGTCTCATACACGTTGCCCAGCTCGAGGTGAGTGGGGTTAGGTGGGACGTAGTCGTGTCGGTGCACAGCCTGCAGAATGTCCCAGATGCACTCACGCACTTTAGAGCACAGAGCTTCACGAAACGACCATCGCTCTGGAATAAACACTTTAATTAGTCAACAATTTTTTTTTCCATCATCCTATATGATTCAAACGCTAAATTTAACAGTCAAAGCTAAACACAAGGAAAATGCGCTCTTTGGAGCTTAGGGCTCGACGAAATGAACATTACTATGAAATAAACATCTTTAGTTATCTACAGTATAATTTTTAGAGCATTTTCTCATTTATGGAAAAAATGCACTATTGTGCTCGCCATGTCCGTCCGTCCGTCTGTCTGTCTGTCTGTCCGTGACCTCAAGTTTTCCTCGACGAGAAAATGCGCTCTCTGTCACTCACTGCAGTGAGTACTGAGTTATATTTTTTTACTTTTTCTAGAAAATTTAGAATCTAAATTTGACAGTCAACGCTAACACATAGAAACACAAAAACTACCATTTGCTCTATCATAAATATTTATTACAAACATTCCTATTTTACCTAGAGAGATGAATTGAAAAAATTGTTTTCTCAACAAATCTCTTGGAGATTAAAATTTCACATTTTATAAAGCATATGTTTTCTACACCAAATAATAATTTTATAAAACTACTATACCTTCATTAGCAAGATTATGCACAATATTTTCATTGTCTTAAAGATTGATTAAAACGTACAGAATGTACATTAAAAACCTCTAAAAAATCTTCCATAAACTTCCAGATGATATCACCTAAGCAACCAACATTAATGATCAATCAATTGCGCCAAAAAAATTAACAAAAATTGCATCAAATGTATAGTTTTTAGTCACATTGATATTAAATTAATTCAACATGCATCGAAATTATAACTCATTTGAGGCACGTTCCATTTTTTCAGCATGATGATGCAGGGCAAAAAATGGATGAAAATGCTCCAGTTTCCAGCAACCACACGAGCTAACCTGATGACGGCTGCATCATACCATGCTGTATTGTAATTATTATGTACTTATAGCCATTACTTCGGCATGAAGATGCATGTCACAACATGGGTGATGATTCTTCAGTTTTCATCAACCACATGAGCTAACCTGACGACGGCTGGGTCACGCCAAGCTGAACGTTCCACACCTCCCAAGCCACGCTGTTCTCACCCCCCAGAGGCCACCTCTTCTGTTTCTTTTCATAGAACTCTAGTGCAACCTGAATAGAGAAGGAAGCAAATTAAACAAAGGGCTATCATAATCCATACCGGTATGTACCTACTCATTCAACTTGTACAAAACAGTTTTTATGCATTTTGTCCACCTGAACATGAAGAGAACTAAAAACAGTTTTAAAATGCCTATAGATAAAGACCAAAAATAATGATTTGTAACATACACAGTCTCAATTTTTTTCATCTATGGGACGTGAAACTTTTATATCATTTAAGGTTTATTTGCATATTTGCACATCAAAAATATATCATACCAACTAGATGAAATTATTAAAAATAACACTATTCTATTACTGAACTGTTAATTGCTGTTGTATTTGTTTTTGCAAGACCAATTTTTGGTAATTTCTTGTAAATTATTAGGCATGAGCAGAAATTAGAAATTTCTAAAAAAAGCTATTCAGTCAAAAAGTACCTATTCACTGCAACTAAATAATACTACCGTAATATTAAGAATTATTATAATAATATTTTAGTTATAGCTAGTGGCAACTTCATTCAGAGTTTAAAACATACTTTTCCACTTGTAGGCACCACAGCTTGCCCCATCTTGTTAACAAAACCAGCTACCTGGCTTCGGAGGCTCCTGTCAAGTTCTCTTGACTGACATCGCACCTGCAGGCAAGAGGGAACTTTATAATAAATTTTACAATGGAATAAACAGAAATAAATACATAATTCTGCAGAGATAAATATATGATAAGTGATGGCTCAATTCAAAAAATGAGTATTACTGAAATCATGATGTCTGAAAAGTTTAAACCAGCATCATGTTCACTAAATAGTCAATATAAGAATAAATATTTTATATTTAAAGGTGAGCATCCAACTGCAAATGGAGCTCTCATATAAGCATAAATTAAGAATAGAAATCTACAGAGTAGGGAAAATTGTCATTCTAACCTTATTATAGGACACTGATACATCTGATAGACTGCCACATTACTGTAAAGTGCCAAAGACTACAGGTTGAGTTCTCAGAGATGTTGAGGCCTTGCACACCAGAGATTGAACTAGTTCAGATTAATGACCCAGAATGGCTTTCCTATATATAGCTAGCAAGCCACAAATTCCCATTCTCTAGGAATATCGGCTAAGCCAAGCAGGTGGAAAATTGTTTACAGGATAATAGTTTTTCATGAAAATATGAATTTAAAGCTTCCTGAGCCTTCAAGTTCATCTTCATTGACTTTTCATGTTATATTTTTTCAATTAAAATGTCAAGCTGAGAATTTTGCTCAATTTATTTAATGTAGCATATTCCTTCTTTCATTCCCACACACATCTTCACAACTCCTGCAACTCATGTAATTTTATTTGCTTTCCAAAGAACACTCACAGAGCCAATAAAATCACAAAGAGTGCATTTATGTATGTATATAAGTTTCAACTACAATAATTTACTTCCCAGTTGATGTCTCCCACATGCTACAAACTGATTAATCATTATTGAAAAAAATATGTACAGGTATCTCACATAGGTCAACTGAAGATTGCTGCATGTAACATCTTCAAATGCTAGCTCCTTGATGTGGTAGCTGTCATCCGCCTGGTAATGGAATTTCCCACTTGAGCGATGCAACAAAATAGTGTGAAATAGAGCTAGGACAACGTCTTCAACTTGATGTTTCTCAACTTCCTGGAAAATTGAATAGTTTTAAAGTAGACCAAAGACATGATATTATGGAACAAAATAATACTTCATCTCTTTATAACACTTTTCTTTAACTTCACTTCATATGTGTTTGTTTGTCTGTCTGTCTGCTACAAATCTTATAATCAAAATTTAACACACTTCTACTCATCCTATTGATCTGAAATTTTGCACACTTGCGTAAAGTTGGAGACAATGCATGTATTAATTGACAGAATAAACAATTTCGAAACAAAATTTTATGTATTAAAAAGCTTGAAAACTTAATTTTGTTGATATTCGAAAATTAAATGAGAAATTCATTCTACATCTGTAACATTGGAGACACTGGATTCGTTAGAAGTGTTGTCTTTAAAGTATGTTATTTATATTCTTAGTATATGTTTTGGACATAGCAGTACCGATGGTTTGCTACTTATATTGCACATTTATATACATATACAGTGTATATTGATTCTGTGGTAGTTGACTCTTCTCTTATACACTGAATTCTCATTATCACAATAAGTTTCTTGAACATACCACCAAACGGGGTAAAAAGGGACAGTTTAGTGCATTTTTTGTTAAAAATTTCTTACCTTGAAACGTGTCATAAACAAACTTGGACTCATTTTAAAGATCTTTGCTAGGGCTATGATATGGTAGCTCCAAAAAAATTCCAAATGCTATTTGTAAGGTGCCAGATGCAAAATAATAGCCTCCCAAAACCCAAATTACCCCTGGGAATAGGGCAACAAGGGGCACTTAAACCATTACTAACAGTATTCTGAAGTCCTCCTCTTCTTATGTAGATGTAGAATAAATGACATTTTCCGTGGTTTTTACTCGTTTTTCTTTATTGATATGATATTACCTTATCCATACACAACCATATTATTAATGTGATATTACCATATCTATGGACATGCCATTGAGCATTGACAATGACCTTGTCCACTGCAAGCTTCATTTCAGCAGCCATATAGCATTTCTTCTGTAACTGTAAGCTTACAGGATCAAGGACAGCTTGTAATTTTGCACCATTTAAATTGAGTCAAGGTAATTCACTGTAGGGTAAATGCGGTATATTCCGACATCGTAGGTAATTCCGTCACCTCTCTAGTTTTTCCTTTATATTAAGCTTTGTTTTAGTTCCATGCATTCGTTGATGGTTGAAATGGTGACGTTGTACATTTGCGCGTCAAACTACTGCCAAAACACTAGGTCTTGGCCATCTAGCAGGAAAATATTGAGATCCAAAGAGAGACAATGCATGCTACCCAGTGAGATCATTAAGCGCTGACGCAATACGACTCACCACGTGTCGGATGTTGCCACACAAAGTGACGGAATATAGGGATTTGGTAGGTTTCCATTCTAAAGGCTTTTTAATAAATATGGCAACATTTTGTGACGTTTCATCATCGTTGCTGACAAGTAGTGAAGTGTTTTGAGAGTCATGTGAAGGCAACAGAACTTACGTAACACTAACGCATACGTTTTTTTTTAATAGTTTTTCATTTCTCGATGCGTCCTTAAAGTGTCGGAATATACCGCATTTACCCTACCGCATTTACCCTACCGCATTTACCCTAATACAAAAAGATTGTAAAAAACATACCTAAAATTGAAAGGAATATTTTAGTGAAAACCATATTTTTTGGAGAAATAAACTGTAGTTCAGATTGATTACTTTTCATTCTATGTTGCCTGGTGCACAATTCTATCTATGAAATTGTATGCACAATTTTGTAATGACCAATGATGCATTATTTTCTCATTAAGTGAAAATTATTATTTTTTTTTGCTAAGCAGTGAGCAAGGTAAATGTAATCAAAATTCATTGTTGTCAATTGATTTTATTTATTAACTGGAGCCTTTACTAGGTAACTGAGGTCTGAGGTTCTACTGTAAATGCATTTTTAGGGGTATCCCAAATTACCCTGAGGCCCGAAGGGCCAACTGATATCCCTTTTGCTATATTTAAAACTTTAGAACAGCATCAAAAACTTTTCACCATTTTTAAAAATAAATTAATAGGCAAGTCAAACAAAATTTTTCCTGGCATATTAGCAAAAAAGATTATTAATTAAATTTTTCATCATGAAATAGCAAGCAATATATTTCTAATAATAATAATATGTTTTATCATCATCAATTTTCCTAGCGCATTGAAGTTAGAACTTAGAACTTCACCACGTGCTCATCAAATCATTGACAAATGATAGGTACACAAGGTGGCGAAAGTCTTACATGTTACACTTACAATATAATGGAATTATACTAAATAAAAAATTATATAAAAGTAATTTGATATATTTATGGTGATACTTACAACTTCTAGTTGCTGATATATGGCATTCATTGCAAATTAAACAAAAAATTAGCTAGCAATGAGTGATGCAACGGACGACCCGCCATCCATCACTTCCATGTATTGCGTCGTTTTGTTTACATTTATTTTAACCCGGAAGTAAAGGTTGTTACCCTAAAAGTATTTCTGCGGGAAGGGTCGGGCATATAAATCTTGCATCTTTTGCACAGCGGTGAAATGTGTAAACCTAATGAAATGGCAAATAAAATGGAAATAACTTGTAACAGACTTATTCTTAATATATGTTAAAAAATATTTTTCGTGCAGTGAATTGAACAAAATTATTTTTTAAGGGGAGCGTCTAGGGTAAAATTTATCTCGGCTATTTACGAACGAATCACTCTGAAACTTGGTACACATATGTAAAGTAGAATTCTAAGACATTTTTGTTCGTGTGAATTTTTCGAAAAAAATGAAAGAAAACGTGAAATTCTTAGAAAACGGCTAAAAAAGGGGGTTCCGTAGAAATCTATCTCCTCCTAGGATTTTCAAGTTACAACATTGAGACACATATCATTCGATGCGTAAAGACCATATCTAAAACGCAACACGAGGGTTTTTAGGATTTCTCATTTTTGTGGGTGTGGGAGCATTTTTCGTAAATTTTTTGAAAATTTTTCGATTTTCCCCCCCGCCACCCCCCCTTTTGCGGAATAAAATCCAAACTATAACGAAATTAGAAAAACGCCCGTCCCCCTCCCTTTCATGATCTGTCGTGAACGCATAAATCAACGTACAGAGATGGTTTTGGTACCGTTGGATAGATCAGAATGTCAGCTTTAAGATGAGACTAAAAACCGGAAAAGCCGAAATCCAAAATTTTACCCTAGACGCTCCCCTTAATTAAGCCATTTAACACTGATTTTAATTTTGCTTTGACCTTAAAACAAACACGTTATATGTACATGTACCACGGATACTGTGTACTAGAAATGAAAACTACGGATTATAACAATTACTCCCAAGTACTTGATGTTCTAAGTGATAACTTGAGTATCTCTATATTGGAGTTGAGATCACGATAACAGTTCGGCACGCCAAGTACGTACGAGTACGTTGATTACGTTACTTCAGTCTGGGGCCAGCTACATTGTTTGATTCATTTCTAGCCTGTGGTACGGTGCATTTGACATAATTCACAGTGTGTTTGAATGCTGGGCCAACTGTAACACAATGATCTAAGAACTGAAATGTTAAAATACTAGAAAATACTGGTTTGTTGATTTCTTATTATAAAAAGTAATTCAGGTTCACTCTGAATTATACCGAATCGACACTTCAGCGAACTCGCCTGCGAACTGGCCTGCGCACTCGATTACAAAACCTAACTTCACCTTCAACTCACCAGCCATAAATCCATCAATGATAAACGGATTTTATTCAAATTTGAAATATAAGTAGATGATATCAGTAATTTGTGGACAGCATTTTTTCTGATTTTTACATCGATAACTTTTTAGCGCATTTTCTCAATTATGGAAAAAATGCACTATTGTGCTCGCCATGTCCGTCTGTCTGTCCGTCCGTCTGTCCATCCGTCCGTGACCTCAAATTTTCGTCGACGAGAAAATGCTCTCTCTGTCACTCACTGCTGTGAGTACTGAGTTATATTTTTTATTAATATGGAAAACCTAACTTCATTTTCAACTCAACCAGCCAAAAATTTATCAATAATGAACGGATTTTATTTAAATTTGAAATATAGATAGATAATATTAGTTATTTGTGGACGAAATATTTTTTTCAGATTTTTACATCAATAACTTTTTTATTAATACGGAAAACCCAACAACATTTTCAACTCAACCAGCCATAAATCAATCGATAAAGAACGGATTTCAGTCAAACTTGAAATATGAGTAGATAATATCGGTATTTTGCGGAATTCTTACAAATTTTTACATCAATAACTTTTTTATCAATACGGAAAATCTAAATTCATTTTCAACTCAACCAGCCATAAATCCATCATTAATGAACGGATTTCATTAAAATTCGAAAATTAAGTAGATATTTTCAATAATTTGTGAACTGATTTATTTAAGATTTTTACATCAATTACTTTTTTATTAATACGGAAACCCTAACTTCACGTTCACCTCGCAGGTTAGGACCTAGTCAGGTCAAGTTTCAGTATTTTGTGGCATTAAAAAAAGTAATTGATGTAAAAATCTGAAATAAATCCGTCCATAAATTATTGAAAATATCTACTTAATTTTCAAAATTAAATGAAATCCGTTCATTATTGATGGATTTATGGCTGGTTGAGTTGAAATTGAAGTTAGGTTTTGCATTCGAGTCCGCAGGCCAGTTCGCACGCGAGTTCGCTGAAGTGTCGGACCGGTCTGAATTATATACATCTTTTCTGGCTTGATTTTAGAGACCGAATATAATTTTTAAAATGATTATTCGTTGCGGATTGCATATACGTTGAAAGATTTATGGTAACGAAGAACCTCTGTCACATTTTTATTAAGAAATGAGTGTTCACATGTGAAAGTTTATTGACTGCTGATTGCTTCCTTTATTGTTTTTATTAGTAGTATTTATAAGGAAATGACTTTATTATTTATTATTTTGTCGACTCTTCTGTGGTCACGCTCATCATTTACTGAATGTAAGTAGAGTAAAAATAAATAAGCGTTCTGCTGTTGAGCTATCGTAATTTTTTAATTTTTCGTAAACTTACAATACAATGCGGATTAAAAATTCGCTTTATTATTATTTTTTCTAATATTATTGTTATTTATTATTTTATTAATTATTGTATTCTCTCTTCAACCCTCGATGATAGGAGACAGGCTTACGTTACGTGTAGGAACTTACGTTTGGGTGCCCATGTAGTTCCTGGATCCTGGTTAATATATATGCCTGCATATTAATTCAGCAAGAATTTTCAGATTTGATAAACCTCTATCCATATGAATGTAACAAAACTGTGCGAAAGCATGCAATATCATGTCTGCGGTCTGAATTTAAATTGTGAAGTTTCCCTCCTGAGAACGCCACACACATGACCGGGGTAAATGTAAATTTTGGCGATTAATTTGTGTTAATTTGTTATCTAACTTCGTAGTATCTAAATAAAAATGTCTATGAACATAGAAAATGGTTAGATACGTCAAAGTAGCATTGACCTGATTAAGTTTCTTGCTTCTCATGAAGTGAAATCTTTTTCGGAAAATGCTGCGACCGAAGAATTGTTGCCGAATATCAACTGTCATGTTATATGAATCGTTGTAGAGAAAACAGCTCGTCAATGAGGATTTATTTAAATAATCTAGGGATTTATGTTACCTGATGACGCAATTTATATTATGATAAATTCGTCAACACGAGCAGAAAATCTTTTCTTATATCGCAAATTTTAATGTTCGCGATGTTGAGAATCGGCGACTTGCGTACGCCCTCATATTATAATAGTCAACCTACATATATAATAATGTAATAGTACGACCTAATTAATAATATAATAAATTGACTATATAATAATTTAATAGTACGCCATAATTATTAATATAATGGTACTGCCTAATTAATAATATTATAAACGCTGAAATCGCAAATCTAAGGTTGAACGAATGTAATGAAACAAACCAAATATTTTGCCAGTGCCTATTTTTTAAATAACATGGATCATTCAGGCTTCAAATTATTGTATGCTACCTGATATATCCGTTATTGCTGCTTTAATATAATTTATAATTCATAGTTTTCAGCTTAAGGCCTGCTCTAGACATTGCGAATTTATTACAGCTCGCTGGGTTTCAGGTACGCAGCTCACTGTTTCGAGCTTGCTGTTCTTAACATTTGGCCATCGCGCCGATTTCGACCAGAATTTTCACAGCTTAGCTCAGTTTCGAACCAGTAACTAATTGCTCCTTGAATCCTAACTATTCGAGCACTAACCGTCTAAGTAATTGTCATAGTATATTATCACGTTAATAAATGAGATAGGATTTTTTAGGAATGATTAATGAATTATGTTTGTTTGTTTGAACGGCGTTGCAGCGCTGAGCTTAACCGTCTCAGCGACAGCGGACGCGTCATCTTCTCACCCGCGCATCAACCTGTCATGGGCTGCCGTCCAGACCTTTGTTGAGGTCACGGTCGCCTGGCAGCAATGTACTTATTCAGACCAGGTGCAAAAAAACTTCTACTAATGTGTAATTTTATGATGAACGTATTTGTTAATTTATTTTATTAATTATTACACACATGCACTAACAGCTACATTTCACAATAGACAATTAAACTATTCTTTAAACTTAAACTTAACTTAAACTATTATATTAAACAATTCTATCACAATAAATAATTAAACTGTAATTGAGATCTGCTCGCAGTTTTTAGAGCACCGTTCCTCTACAATGCGTTTGAAATCCTGAAAGTTCTAGATTTTAAAATCAACTTCATTTGGTTCTTGATTTTCCTTAAAACAAAACGCAACCGCAGATCCGATAATTAACAGTATTAAAATTATAGTTTTTCAAATATTTCGCCTCCTACGTTCTCCCATCATTAATGTTTCCTCCATTCAGACTTAACTATTAATGATTTACCTGCGCTCACTTTGATTGAGCTAAATAATTCAACCTTCCCTCCAGATGACGTGCCGGGAACTGGGACGCCAAAAATTCTTAGACCCGAACTCCAGTTCGCTTCAGCTGACGGGCGAAGTGAAGTTCGACTCTCAGTTCCGCGTAGAAGTTAAAGGTTTCGATGCCTGCGGTCACATCACAACGACAGAGTCCTACTTCACCGTACCCAGGCCGTCGAAAGATCTAAACACGAATCATGGTGAATATAGTAACTTTGAGAATTTATTTCTTAATCAATATAATGATTTGTCATACAATTAACTCGCATTTTGATCGTGTGCAGTAGAGAAATTAGAATTCGTATTGTATGTAAAGATAATTAGGGAAATAAATTTTGGTGAACGAAACTCGTAGTCAACTCAGAGGAAGCCTTTGATTGCAATGACTTTATTAGCCGTTTGTTGATGATGAAGCTGTACTGAACTATTTCCAATTAAAGGAATCTTGGTTAAAATTATCTGTGTTTGTTGACTTACTAGGTGTGTCACTTGAATTCTTCTTGCTTGTGGATAGTCCCGTTTTACCCGTTGTAGCATTTGTGTTTGTTGCCAGACCCGTTGCACCATTTGTGTTTGTTGCCAGATTGTTTGTTGCCAGACCCGTTGTACCATTTGTGTTTGTTGCCAGACCCTTTGTACCATTTATGTTTGTTGCCAGGCCCGTTGTACCATTTGTGTTTGTTGCCAGACCCTTTGCACCATTTGTGTTTGTTGCCAGACCCTTTGCACCATTTGTGATTTTTGCCAGACCCGTTGCGCCATTAATGTTTGTTGCCAGATCCTCTGTACCTGGTGTTTGGCCCGGTGTCTGCCACCAATATAACAGTGGTCTGGCAGCGTCTGTCCACCGGCCATCACCAGTCCACTGATGGTCAGGGCCACGCGTCCTTCAAAGTCTCGTGGAGGAGGGTGGACGGGGCCGTGGGCCACCCCGGCCACGAGACCGCAGCCCTCGTCTCGAGCAGACACCTCGTCCGGGGACTGAGACCTGCTACGCGGTATAATTAGATCACTTATTATTTAATTAAATATTAAAACTCATTATTTATTTGTTATTATCAATAATATTGTTATTTCTACTTTTTTTAACAATTTTTAATAGTTATTATTAATAAGAATTTTATTTATTATTATTATACATAATGTACTAACCGCTCATTCAATTCGAGAAAAAATGTTCCCGCTAAATTTCTGTATGAAATTTAGTTTCATATTTTTGTCGCCTGAGATATGTTTGATTTAAATTAAATTTATTTTTCTATTTCAGTTACGAAATTTGCGTGACTGACCAGCGGAGGACCGAGCACAGCACGCGGTGTGATGTGGTGCACACGTTGGAAGCAGGTGTCGCAAAAACTTTAATATAGAATGAATTTTTTTATAAAAAGTTTGAGTGATAAAATCACTTGATAACTTAAATTACAAATTCTATGAGAATTTAAAATAAAAGAAAATTGCCAAGTTTAAAAAAGATAAATTTTTAGCAAGGGAGACTTCAATAGGTTAGAAGGATATCTGATTTCAATGCGCGCTCTGAGTAAATGATTTATGAGTGAGTTTTTGTCGAGGTAGTAATGCATTTATTGTTCCTGTGTGGGTCACCCTGACCCATTTATGAGGTATCAGTGTATCAGTGTAATAATGTGTCATTACTGGGATAATATTACCCATTCATTTTCGCGAGTGCCGAAGGGAAATCATTTTTGGTGAACGAAACTCGTCGTAAGTCAACTCTGAGAAAACCTTTGATTGCAATGACTGACATGTTGTTTTGAACTCGAACAATAGCGTGTTATTGTTCAAGTTCAAAACAAGAAACTTTGCCAGCAGAGCTGATATTGTGAGGATAGCTATTCTAAGAGCAAATTAGATAAAAATATCATTAACGTACTTTCATTGAAAAACATTGATTCATGGATCGAGTCGTTCGACAGTCCTCCAAAAATATTTAATTCGTTCTTAGTTTTGCCGAGCAAGGTTCAACATGAATTTTCTTTCAGTTACATCCTTAGGACCTTTCACAAACGACATGCATTATTTGTACAGTTTTACGTACTATAATTAAAATGAACGTCGTTTATAATGAACTTTAAGCATGTTTATCAATTTATTATACAATGAAATTATTGTATAATACAAAATTTTTTGCATACAAATCAACAGTAGAATAAACAAACAAAATATCAACAAAATTTATTGCATTATTTATACATGGGAATAATACACAACGAAATAAAAAATTATAACTAACTATATTTCACTCGTGGAGCAGCACCAGGACCACCCACACCCGGCGACAGTTGGTGCCGCACTGAGGCGCCAGGCACGCACTGGCGCTGTGACGTCACCTGGGCACCGCCGGAGCATCCGAACGGAAAAGTCATCGGGTAACTTAAATTCATCGAGGTGAAACGTAGCGTAAAATGGCATCTAGAGGATAATTTAAGTATATTTCATATATCAGCAGGAATCATACATTAAAGAGCCTTCCCACGTCCCAATGACGACCTTGCATTCCCAGGTACTCGGTGACGTGGCAGGACGAGGAAGGCTACTCCCTGCAGGAGCAGCGGCCGGCAGGGGCGCTGTGCCGGCCGTGGTGCCGACACTCGGCCGTGCTCACGTTCCGGCCTCACGCCGGCTGTGTGGCGGCCGCTACAAGCAGTGGCGAGGGCTGGCATGCCTGCGTGCTGGTGCATGGTAAGGAGGCCGACTATTGTACTAATAGTATAAATATTACATTAACAGCAGTAGATATTCTTATGAATATCTTCAGGAAATTACAAAAAGAAAGATTGCAATTGCAGAAAAATTACAGAAAGAGTACTGCTACTATGTAATTTTGTACATCTGAGGTAATAGTATTTTATGATTTAATGTTCCTCTGGGCCTATCGTTTTGTAAGAGGTGTTCTTTAAAAGCTGTTTTCGTCAATATTAAGCCGATAAATAGGAACAATTAATTTTCAAACTCTAAGTAATTGTGAATTATTCATAATTACAAATGAACACATACCGAAATTATTCGAAAACACGTAACTTCAAATCGTTGATAATTAGAAAATTAAAATTTCCATTATTTTCCCATTTATTTGAGTGACTCAGGAATCTCGAGTCCAAAATTGAGTGTGCTACTTTGGCGAGAGTACTTACCATGCCAATGTGCTCTGTCCCAGCGACAGCAAACACTGTGAATTTCTTCGAAGTAAATTTTCCAGTCAACTCGAGGCAAGCAAACAGCGGCGTCTTTGCCTAACAAACATTTCCTTCGCCTAACTTGCCACTTTAAAGAGCTTTCTTCAACCATTTATTATCAAGGCTAAGTCATGGAAAGGATACATTTTTGACACTATAATATAAATTAACAAAGGAAAAAAATGTTGAAAGTCAATGTAAGAAAATCAGTGATTAACATTCATTACGATGTTGATTTTAGCAATCAGAACTTGCATTCCGTTTCTTGTTTCAGGAAATTAGGAGTGTCGGCTGGAAATAATGATAAGCTTTAAAAAGTGACTGCCCTTAAATAGTGATTGGCTTTTTAGAGTGATTGGGCGTCACTATATATTGACTGGTCTTCAATAGTGATCGGCCTTCAGTGTTTGGATTAGACCAGCCCTTGCTAGAAATCCTTTAAAAATACCCTTACTAAATTCTTTCACTAAATAATTTTGGTTTCACTTCCATTATGGGTTCACTAAATATCTTTAATTAATATTTTTCTTGAACATTTTTAAATACTTACACTAAATACTGTTTCTAAATAATTGTCTAAATTAATTTTACTAGATACTTTTCCTAACAGCACTTAAATAAAGTTTCTACCAAGACTTAAATAAAGCAATTACTGCACGAGCAGACGCTCAGTCGCGCGTGCTGGCAATGTTCGAGCGCAAGCTGCTCTACGCGGCCGCCGCGACGCTGCTGCTCTACATCCTGGGACCCAGGCTGCTGGGGGCGGCCCTTGCCTGCTGGTAATAGTCTTGTGGTTTCCTCACTCATATTTTTTTATGATTATACATGACATATTTAATTAATATTTTATTACAGCTACCTTGATATAATTTTTATATGATTGTACTTGCCCTATTTAATAATTATTTCATATCAGTGCTCTTATTTAAAATTTCTAATTATTTGACCTGGGGCCCAGGCTGTAGGTGGCGGCCCTTGCCTGCTGGTCAGTGTCTTGTGGTTTCCTCATTCATAATTTTGTATTTTTGTTATAATACCTGCCCCATTACTATAGTATTAAATTATTCTATTACATAATATTAATACTATACTATTTTAAAAATACTATGAAATTATTATTTTATATCAGTGCCCTTGAAATTTCTAATTATTTTACCTGGGGCCCAGGCGGCAGGGGGCGGCCTTTGCACCTTGCGCTGTCATTTGTCATAATTATGCGTTTTGCGGTTTCTGTTCTGCATTTGATTCTAAAGGTTACACCAATGCTTTTGTAAGGTTATTATGGTTATCCCTTCCTTTACTTAATTCAAATGTTTCTACCAGTTCCCTCACAATTCTCAATTTCTGAAAATGTTTAAAAATTTTATTCTACATCTGCTATATATTTAAGTTCCGTCTAGTCACATTCTTAATTTCTGATTTTTTAAGTAAATGTTATGTAATTATCACCAATTTTAAATGCAAAATTCCAATTCCAGAGAATGATCAAAGAAATTTTCTAAATCTCTGGTAGTATTTGAGGGCTAATGGAATAATTTTTTAGATCGTCCTCTATATGTCTTTTCTGCTCCCTTCAGTAGCGTCAAACCTCAAATTTATCCTAGTGAAATAATCTGTCAAGTGTCGTATTTAGCACCAGAAGCTAGTTTCATTCAAATATCCTGACTCTCTGATCCTGTCAAAATATCATCCTCGACTGTGCAGATCTTATAATGGGACATGAATCACTTAAGTAATTCCTTATGTCTCATAAATTTAGGCAAGTCGCATGCAAAATGAACAGTGATGCACAACATTTTCTTCATTCAAAACTGATGTTATAAGTATATTTTATTTCTATAGATAAATTTCTTTGGTGCAGATAAGCTGGATAAGCATGAAAAAATTCAGATTGATATTACATTTACGAGCGGAGGTACAATGAGTCAACGTATAGTGATAGAATCCCATAGGGAACCTGCCAAGCCTGCCAGAGGGTTAGCAGTTCTCAACCTGAATCCTAACTGAATCCTAACTCATTACTGAATTAGGAATTACTGAATCCTAATTCATGAATCTTAATTCATTACTGAATTACTGAATCCTAATTCATGTGTTGGAGGCTTCATCGTTAGTAGGGCATGCCGATTAAAACGGGGGAATCTTTCTCAAGTTATACATTGTCTCTAATTAATGTATCGTACCTTTCTAATGCTCGTTGTAAAGCGTTTACATTTCATCGAAGTTTCTTGCGGGTCAAGTTTTCAATCGTGTGGTGATGCATACCGTATTATGTTACCAATGATAAAGAATGATAAACGTAGTAAAGGAGTTAACCACAATAAAACAAAGGAAAAATCGCTGTTATTATGTAATTTTATCCTTATGTAGAAAATTAAGTCATCCGCGGAGAATTATGGCGATGTCTTACGGAGAATTATGGTGATTCCAAGTCCAGTGATCAGACTTGCCAATAAATCTGGAAATCCACGGCCAATATCGATCAAGTTCTGAGCCCTTAGGCCGCTCTTTATCGGCTTAGATCAGTCCTAAATATCGGGAGGAGTCGGCCTCTAGGCTGCTGAACATGACTGAGTTCTCGTCTCGTCTTTTGGAACTAGAGCCTCCGGGATGGACACTTTAAATGTGCTGAATTCCAGTCGATTAACTGAGAGTGAATGTTCGCAGTTATGCAAATGTGGACGCTCGGAGCTGCATATAAATGATGTGATATGAGATCCAGTCAATTAATTAACTGCGAATATATGTTCACATTAGACTGAAAGTATGTAGAAGTTGAGGTATTTACTTCATAAGTATTATTTAATTGTAAGTTTGAATTAATTGTAGTAACATTTAATAACAGTAATTTAACAAATTTAGATGGATCATTGCGATTCTTCTGATACAGTGAATCGATAACGTTGATAACAAATTCCTAAATTTCTGTAGTATTTTTGTACGGCATGTGCACGTTTCATGTGCGATTTGTAAGATTTGATTCCGAATTTTAATAAAGTTTCGAGTAATCTTTAAATTGCTGATTATCTAGGCATGAAAATGTTGCACAATAGTTATCTAAAAAGTGATAATTACTTCCCTTGTAATTTTTATTATTTAAGTATTTATTTAAAGTTAAATGTCGGGGCAAAGACACGGTTTCATTGCACGCAATTTCATTACACGCATGATTCCTCAGGGAATTAATACAAACTGCAGAAGTGTGTCTTACAGACGACAAAAAATCTTAAATTCTGCAACTGTTTACTGATTTTTTAATGTTAAAGCTGCATTTTAATGTGCGTAAAAGTATTCATAACGTATATTTCTTCGACTTATTTGTGGATATGCTCATGCGCTTGGATTTGTTGTGCATTCAGTAATTTTTTATTAATAAGGATATTACTGTCAATGGATTTTAAATTATCGCCAATTATTGCATCTCTCGTTGACTGCAGTGACTTCGTTGAACATTAATTATTATTATTATTGTTATTATTATTATTATTAATTATAATAATAATTATTATTATTATTATTATTATTTATTATTATTATTATTATTATTATTAATATTATTATTATTTATTATCATCTTATTACATTATTATTGCAAGTAATAATCACTATTATTGATCGCAGAAAATATTGTAGAAATAAATTATTTAGTTGCCGTAAATAATGTGATGGGACTTAAAGTTTAAATAATTTTTCAAACGTTTATTCCAGCATTCGCGGGCTGGCGAGACACGTCGACCGAGAAAAGAACCATCTCGTCTGAAGAGAGAAGCAAGAGTTTTTAAAATATTAAGAATATTAAATATAGGAAATAATTTTCTTTATTTATAAAATAAAGTTAATCTCATTGAATTATTTTCTTTTCACTAATTTCAATTTTTTTATCCAAATATTAGTGAAAAAATTTTGTGTAGCCAAAATTAAAATTCAAATTGAAATAATTTTCAAAATCAAATTAATTGAAAATTTTATCCTTGTTAAAGTTCACGCAGTTACAAACAACAACGAATATTTTTCGCTGTGAGACGAACAATATTTTGTATAAGTTATACGAAGAAAATAATATTTAAAACTATTTCCGAATTAATTTTTCGACCAAATAAGAATTACGTGGGAAAACAGGAAATTTCCTCACTATATAACGAGAACAAAGATTTTTTCCGTCAGTGTGGGCCAGGCCGTCGTGAGGAGTGCATCTGTAGGTAGCGCGCTCTCGTAAACCTCATTACCAGACACCTCTGGTCGAGTCGTGATTATGAATAACTATTGCAAAGCCAAAAATGAGTAGAATGAAAACTGTAGCTGCTAGTTTTTGTCGCATTCAATGATGATAAAAAGTGTTATTTCGCTTAGCGCTTTGCAGAGGTTATCTTCATAAAGGAGAAGTGCTGACTTAGCATTCGAGGTAAGCTACCTGTGGGCCGCTGACACCTGTCAGAGCCTTCGTACCCGAAACATTTTGTGCTGTTATCAAACTCTTAATTACTTTAAATCACTATCATAAATAAGATTATGGTTAGCAAAACTTTCATGATTAGTTTGTGCACAGAATTGACATATAACCCTTATAAAAGACTGGGTGTGAATGTGTGTAAAGTGAAGGTCCCCATCCCTGAGACTTGTCATGGCAGTTTCATTATTGCGTTCAAATTAAATGGTAATTTCACGAAGAAAAACGTTGCAATTGTTGGCTATAAAAAATCCTAGTAGGTGAGATAAGTTTAATTTATATACTCATGGTCGGCTCGAAGAAACTCAGTAGATCGTCGATCTCGGCGTGATTAATTCAATAAAAACCTAATATATTCATGAAATTTGATTACAAGTTAACTTGCTATGCGCATATAATTCCAACTGTTAGAGATTTGTTAGCATTTTTAATCAATGTTGTACATTATTTTAACCGTAGTTATCGAGTCGACGTTGAAATCACTATGGTGTGAGCTCACAATGAAGCTACGAATTCTCATGAAATTTTTATATATAAGTATTTATACGTTTATTGACATGTGGTGAAATTATAAAGCCATGAAAATATTAAGTCGGTTAAATATTATCGGAACTTTAGACTCGGGCATTTGGCCACAAACACGCCACAGAAAAATGAACGGAAAAGTCTACGGACTGCAAATCTAACATTTAATTTACTCAGTCTCTATCGTCATAGAATCGTCCGTACTGAGTTCCATGTATAATATCTCACCACTAGAAAAAATTTCAAAGTAATAGTACTATCACTTAATTTTAAGACAAATTTAAACATGTAGACACCGAATCCTATCAAAATAGCACAAGATCAGTAATCAGACTAGTTAAAATTATCTCTCCTTTAGTATTGTTTTCGATGCAATCATAGCTTTTCAATTTTCAAAATTAGGTTACTAAACTACAGAAAATTTCTACCTGCACTTACAAACTTGTCAATCTTTTAAAATTGTAGTTTTCCTACTAGCCAATAGTATGTTTGTATTATATATAATTATCATTTGATGCGAGCGAAAAAAACAACCCAACGAAGCTGCTCTGTTAACAATTAATAAAATCAGCTTTTTCCATGTAAATTCATCCGTTATACAATGCTAACTACATAGCTGGCGGTGAATGCCGGTCCCTAGCTTGTTAGTTTTTCCATTGTTGACCTTAAGCCGAAAAATCGCGACTGGGCTTATCAGCAAAACGGCTAACCTCGACTGCCTCCGGTTAAACACAACTCGAGGCAGCATCTGCTTAAACTTAAAGGCTTTTTCCCTTCAAAATGAAGGATCTCCTCTATTCAAAAATTAAAGGTCAATAATGATCAAACTTAGAAGTATCTCATTCAGAATGACAAGCAATTGCCATTCAAAGTGAAAAACAGCTGCTATTCAGAGTGAATGGTAAATTCCAGTCCGAATGAAATGGAATCTTTAATCAAAATGTAAGAAAAACTCTACCAGTTGAAATGAAAATGAAAGGCAACCCACATTTAGAATGATAGGCAAGAAAAGGAGATTAACATCCAAAACAAAGAGTAACCACCATTCGGTATGAAGGGCAACCTTCGTTCAAAATGAAAGGCAATCAAAATTGAAAATCAAGGCAATTATTGCATAGGAAGAACAGTTTTTTTTTGTACCGTGTTCTTGTCAGTTGCAAAATAGTTCTTGTGGTCTTTTGATTCACCCAATAAATAATAAGCTTAAAAAAATGCTAATGGGGTATCTGATTTTCTTTTTCAATTACTCTTTCGAGGAATTGGAACTAGACAAAATTTTTCTATTATATTAATGTCTGATGCACAGATATTATATTACAAATTACATTAAAATATATAATTATACTGTAACCAATAAATTATAACTTATAATAATAAATATTATATTATATTTTTTAATATAATTAAATATATAATGATGAATAGCACATATCGGTGGAGTAACATACATGCACTCTGTAAAATTTTACGAAGTTTGATACCTTTACCCTGAAAAATTTAGCCACGTTTTTACCTAGACAAGTGAGTTGGGTGCTGGTGGCGGCAATCGCTCGGCTGAGCGCAACTTGTGTGGTTCGTAAAAACTTTCTTAAAAACGCAAAAAACGTAAAAACTGCGTTTTGAGGGCAGGACCGTAGGGCTGCTCTGCACTGTGCGATCAGACATTGCAGACCTGAGAAATGTCTGTAGAATGGGAGATGCAAACGCTGCAGACATTGGAAGTATGATATATCGAGTTGAAAACTCTTTTGACTTGAGAAGTATGTATATATCGGGGTTGAAAACGTTGCATATTTGAGGAGAGTCTGCGTGGCAAGGATATAAAAAGAATGCAGGCTTTAGGAGTGTCTTTAGTGTGGGGAGGTGCAAATCCTGCAGACACGAGAAATATCTGTATGATGGTGGATGTAAATACGGAGGACATGAGAAGTGTCTGTAGGGAAGGGCGATGCAAACACTGCAGACTTGAGGAGTGTCTGCACTTGGGGAGACTTAAACGTTGAGGACTTGAGAAGCGTATGCAAGGTGGAGGGATGTAAATGTTCCAGAGTTTCGAAGCATCTGCGGAATTGGGATGCCACGCAGAAATTTCGAAGGATGCCCACGTAAATTTCCGAAACCTAACAAGTATTTTATGGCCTAGTAGGGAGAATCATAGATACATTTCTTCACTGTGAACTCTTTTTCACAATGATTCCTTTCATTTCCCCCAAAAAATGGGCTAAGAAGTTTAAATATGCCTTAATAATTTCAGTCGCGAAATGGGATTTGCTATTGAATGTAGTGAGTCCGGATTACGTAGCGAATTTGTTTGCATAAATGAGAGCAAATTTTGCGTAATTTCCCAGTGTTTTTCATAGTAAAATTTATTTCATAGATTTGAACATAAGAAAAATTTTCAGTAAGTATATTTTATTGATTTTAATTAATTAAGAACCTGTACAATTTTATGCTTTGCAACGTGAAACACGAAAATTTACATTACATATTTCCTTTGTTACTTCGCTTTGCAAAATTTTGACGCGAATCTTCTCTTCCGCTGATGATATTTGCGCTTCCAAACTTTTCAAGGATTTTACAATGCAAAATACTTGAAATTTATGCTAAAAATTTTAAGAAACTCGGGTAAATTTCCTTAGCAAAGCGCGATGTTGTCAAAGTAACTTAAGGTTTTTCGAACGCGTCTTTACTACCAGCCTGACCTTAGTTGGAAACGTGTCTTTCACTATAATCTTGACACAAAATAATTTTAGAATTGCACAAATTCTCGTACATAATATCAGACATTTTTTACGGTGTTTGTGTTGCTAGCCTTCGTTAATAGTCCATATAACTTTAGTTGAGTTTTTTTAGTTTATTGTTATCACAGAAATTATCCTATAATGTTAAATTATATCATTAGATGTTAATATTATGATGTATCAGTTAATCATAATTAATAAAGTGACTTGAATCACGGATATATTTATCTAAATTCAGTTTGATTGAATAGATTTATCTATCGCTTTTTATTGATTTATATATCAATTCACTTTGTTGAGAGTCAAAGCTTTTAGCTCGATTGTTGATTCTCCCTGCAGTTTTTTTTTGTGGGGAAAACCTCTGTTGTGTTTTCCACTCTCGGCAAAACAGGGTCAGAGACTTCTCTGTGACCTGTCAGTTCAGTTCAGGTAAAACTCTTCAAAATAAAGGCAGTTGTATGGGGATTTTTGTAACTGATTGTTCATTTCTACTCTTATTGACTGAAAAGAAAAGTTATATAAAATCTGGAATAGAAACTGATGCGCGTATTAAGAGTACATGGCTAAGCAGTTGCTTGGAAGTGAATTATCAGTGCACGTATAGTTCAGGTTGTAATATAAATAAAAACAATTGATAAAAATTCCCGGGATGTCAATAATATTGGCTAAATCTCGGTTTAAGCGACATTAAAAATAATTCTGCTGTCTCTAAAGTGCTACAAAAAGTTGCGTAGGATAACTTTCCGATCATTTTTAGCAACTCGGCATGAGAGTAGGTTTTATATTTATTTCAAGTTTCCTCTATTGCAATAATATTTTGACATTTCTGAGAGCATTTTCTCGCCATATTTACTGCAGGTTTCCACTGCAATAACGTCTTTGCGAAGCCATCCAACCTCCGGAATTTAAATTAAGAGTTGCCTGCGCTCATGGGCTTTGTTTTAAATATGTGGCAGCTTTCATACTTGTGGCAGATTTCATACTTGTGGCAGATTTCATACTTGTGGCAGCTTTCATACTTGTGGCAGCTTTGATACTTGTGGCAGCTTTCATACTTG